TTAGAGAGGCGTTTTATGGGAAGTGATTCACTTATTCGATTAGTGTACTGCTCTTCTTGCGCATCATTTCCTGTTGAATTCTCTCATTATACATCAGGCTAAGAGATGATGCTGTGCAATTTAGACCAGTTTTATTATTCACGAAAACTTAATGAATAATAAAATGTTGATTGGTGCTAATCTTTTGCATATGAATGCTTCCTGTATGTTTGATGTAAATTGAGAAGACCACTACTGGACACCTGCACAATCAAAGAGCACAAATATGATTAAAAATAAATAATACCCTTACAAAGAGAATTATTCATTAATTATTTCATTACCACGATCAGAAAAATATTCATGTTTCTCATGTATTCTAGCAAGTATGATTATAATTTGGCACCTCCTACTGCTGTGTCCAATACAAATGTACAGTATTCTGTCTTTTATGTTTGTCTTACACTATAAAAAAAAAAAGTTGACATTTCAACAGCATTTAATAAAATAACTGATGCTGCATGTTGTTTATTAGAGAGAACCAGCATTTTGCAAGTCCTTATAGAAAATATGAAACGTGGCTCTTGCCACAGAAAATGTTCCCGTCCAGACAAAATGATGATGATGACGATGATGACATCACAGCGGCACACCATCCGACAAGTCTGACTGGTATGAGCTGAAGCTGGTGATGTAAAGTAGTTGTGGAGGAATGGACTCATCGGTCGGTTCATTTATAACCTAGAGGAAAATAGCCATTTAAAGATCATCGTTAACTCAAAGTTGAAACTTGTATTGCCCCAAAACTTTTCTCGTACAGCATCAAACAAATGGATGTGCAGAGATGACACTCTTATTTAGTTATTTGCCTTGTATGAAGAGATTGTTCCAGTAAATGCTCATGATTGAGTGGTAAAATATATCAATTGGTAGAATTACTGAGGGTGCAATAATTATAATAATAATAATTTCATTTGTTACCAATTCCTAGGGTATGTTTTATGTGACGCCAAATATGATCTTAAAACTTCATAACAATGGTCATGTAAATTCTAACGAGGAAGCATATGTTCCACTTGATTATTTTGACTTACTTCATCAAATTTGCTCTCGCTGTAGACTTCATCCTTGTCAATAAAAGTCAGCATGATCCAATCACAGATAATGGTACACTAAATGGTAGGAGTGAGGTGAAAGTTGAGTCAGAAAGTGTTTTTCAGTTGTACAAATGAGGAAAGATGAGCTAACTCACAATTCCGACTGAAGTCAGAGCTGTCACTGCACTGATGATGGTTGGGATTGGGCTAAATTTACCTGCCTGCAAAGAATTAATATTGTAATAACATCTCATTGCAGTAATTCAGAAATAGATGCAGATTTTTGTTCAGCATTTCCTTACCTGTCCATGAACAATAATATCCAAACGGATGCCATAGGCCTTGATAAGAGTCCGAGACTCGACTCCATCCTTTTGGTAGTATTTGGCAAATCTAGTGATGAACAGCATTGCGGTTAATCGACAACACCCTCCTTTTTAAGATTTTATTCGACCCTGTGAAATTCACCTGCAATAGTAACCGGAGTTGGCTTGATCCTTTCTGAGGTCAAGACGCCTAAATGAATATTTGGGTTTACAGCGGGAAGGATCCAGGTCCAGGTCACAGTTCCAATTGATAAAAACACCAATCACACCTCCCTGAGAAGTCAGTTACCATAAAATACTGTATACATACTGTACGTACATACTGTATATACAGTAAACTATACAATCTATTGTATAGCGATTATGTCAACCCACTTAAAAATGTATTAAAAATTGCTGGGAGTGATTGGTCACAAAAAAAATCATTCCTATCTTTGGAAAGATTAAACATTTGTATTGGATCTCATTAGACTGCGCCGGTGTACTTAATGAAGTATCGCGTGGGGCCTTTGTGTAACTCAATCAAATCCACTCTGTAAAATGCAAATATTGTACCCTTAGCGGCTTCGATTCGACATTTGCTCTTATGAATAAATCGTGTGTAACACGTAATGCACTAACCGTCCTGCAGAGGTCACTAAAGTTCTCTCGGGCTTGATGTGCAATGTAGCCCAGTCGGAAGTTGGGACAATAGGGCTCCTTCTCCTCATCGTATTGACATTTGTTCAGGTATTTGTGCATGTTGCGCCTGTTTGAAGCACCCTTAATATTACCCCTGCCAGAGAAAAAAAAACTATCATGAGTTATCACTTTGTATGTTTGATCTTGCTTGTATGTGTGAGTGTGCACATACCTCCGCTCTCCAAACTTTGGAAAGAGGATGGAATTTCTGATAAAGACAGTGAAATTGATGGCCTCCACTAGAGGTGGCTCTCTGTCAAACATGAGACAACATGACTCATTCAAGCGATTCCAATACAACTTATTAACACACGCAATCAGCTGAGAGTTTTATTCTTACAATAGATTGTTTTTAGGTTAAGTCTATTGAAGGGAAAAAAAAACTGACTGACTTCGCACCATCTATTTGTGGATTTGTTTTGACCTGTTTTCCTTGTCCTTTATTGAACAAGGAACCATATTTGGCAGCTACAAGTTGGAATTAAAAATTTATTGAGGTTTATTCCTGCAAAGCGAAAAAGGAAAAAATATAGTCTAGAAATAGCACAAGGGTAGAATCACAGATGTTACTAGAAAGAAGCCGGACATTTATCATCAAGAGATTGTTGAAAGTAGCCATAAAACTTGAATGGTCGTAAATAACCATAATGTATCCCACTGGGATTTTACTCATTCTTGTCTTATTCTGGGTGGTAGACTCGGGATTTTGGGTCGAGACCACACCAGTACTACAGTAATCAGTGACCTTGCTGAAAAGAAATATCCAGTTTTTTTTTTTCAATTTCTTTCCTTTCTTACCTCTGGACAGCATACTCTTCGATAGGACACCAGGTTTGGATCTCACAGGTTTTGAAGGTGTGGTTGTAGTATCGAATACATCTGCCGGTCCTCCTGCCTGTCAAAAATAATCAATGATCGATAACTTAGAGATACTCATGAGCTAATTACAAAGAACGGTTTATGTGCACAGCAATTGAAAACATACCATGGCCATTCAAGTCACCCTCTCCTTGGACACAGTCTGAGTCTCTCGAGCAGTTGGCATTTGCAACACCAAAATACTAGAGACAATCACTGACAATCATGTTTAATGCTTTAAGTTATACTGTTTAACTTTAGGCTTTTTACCTCAGCACAGCTTCCTTGTTTCTGGTCGTATGTGACTTCTCGTCTCAATATTGTAGTAATGACATCCCCACCCTGCAAGAGGCCACAATAACACTGGTCAATAGTCTTTACCTCCATAAAGGGAAGCTTTATGCCTTATGCTGCGAAATTGCATGTAGGCGTCTTCACCTCTGATGGTCGAACATATTCCACGGTGTCCAAGATTTCATCCCCACGGACTGCTGAGCCTTTCATGCGAGTGTAAACTGAGCTCGCAGGACGTGTCTCAGTTTCTTGGTATGCTTTTTGACTGATGAAGACATACCTTGACAGCAAATTTAAAAAATAATAATAATAATAAATAAATAAATAAAATAAAATAAAATAAACACTGATGACAAGGATATGAGGCCATATAATTATGTAACCAGATAAAAACATATTCCTATATTTGATACCTCAACTGAATATTTATAACGGAAATTTCTATTAGATTTTGATCAATCAAAGAAGTACAATGTGTAAATAACAGTATAAAGTAAAACATCTGTTGAAATATACATGCATACAACAAAAATAATAATAATAATACAATGCCTACCAGACGAAATAGGTGATGACAATAAACTGAACTCCTCTGTATATTACTCCAAGAGTTAGATTCTTAACCACCATAATTTTGGGGGTTTCATAGTCCCAGAAACCAAGAAAATAATCTTTTAAACATGCACTCAGTCCCATGTTTAATTTATAAAATACACAACTCTAAGATATCCTGTCTAGTTTCAAGAATGTTATCCCACTCTAACCAGCTTCAATTGCCATTAATATTTCTTTGTTCTGTCTCTCCGCCCTACTTCCGTCTGCATCTCCTTTATGTGTTCATGGTCTTGCCCCGGCCAGAAAGTAGACAAGAGGGCGGAGTTGAGTTGAGGTTTTTGCCCTTTATTCTGATAGCGCGCATATTTACATCTGAGCGGGGCCAGCTCGCCCATTAGGCCATATAAGTAGATGCTAAGATGCTAAATAAATCAATCAAACTAAATAAGTCCTGACGACGACGCACCCGACCCCTCTCCCCAAAACTTCCCTCTGCCGCCCTCTTTTGGCTGATTGATATCTCTGACGGACGTGATGGTGATAGCTATTGAGCAAATCGAGGTTTTTATTTTATCTAGCTGGCCCGCAAAGAGGCTCTGAAATAATTAGTAGAGATTAACAACCCTCAATATTTATATTAGCCTGATGTACACTTTTATTTGTTGTTAGCCTGTCAGATGTAAATGTTACCATTTTTTTCCCTTTTGTTAATACAGTATTCTGACTCCTACGGAGCCGGGGCTCCGTACGATAACTCAACTGCTCAAAAAATCTTGTTGCAATCTTACAATTCAGCATTTATGTAGAACTGTTTGTTATGTCTGTTTTGCCTTCAATTTAATATTTTCACTTGTCCTGTCCATCCAGAAATGTTCATTTGATACGGTTTTCCGAAGGTCCTCGTATAATGCACAAGCCTTCTCGGCCTCATTTCATCCTTTAACAGCTTTTAAATTAAACAAACCAAAAAAAAACAAACAAAGAACAGAAACAGTATACGTAATTGTTTTATTACAGAATTGTGTTACATCATTACACTTCAACATGAGTATCTTTTATAACGCACTTTCACACGTGAGCTACAATGAACATGTACGGTTAGACGCAATTACTTATTTGTTTGTGTTTATTATTTAGCATAATCGATGAACGGGCGTTTTTCAAGTGTTTATTTTTATACAGGCAGATAAACGGACAGTCCAAGGTCCGGAAGTTTTCTCCTCTGCGCACGTCATATTACACGTGCATGGATTGCGTGTTGTAGTGGTTTGCGTTGAAATCATTAATCACCTTTGTAGATACATTTTTACGACAAATACACCCTTGTACATCTTTGCACGGCCTATTTTGTTTGTAAATGGGAGGCCTACAAAAGAAGAAGGTAATTGTCGTCGTTGCCCTGATGTGAAAAGTGTTGGCAACGTGGGAGCTAACTAGCTTTGGAGCTAATACCGTAGTTTGTTTTCCTTCGTTGGTGGACCTTTGTAAAAAATAATTACATGGTTTATCGTAAATGACAATTCAACTTGTACATTAGGTCAAGGTATGTGCTGATATAACGAGTGTCTTGGTCTGTTTTTCAGTATGAGAGTGGCTCTGCCACAAACTATATCACCAGAAACAGAGCCCGCAAGAAATTACAACTAAGCCTCCCAGATTTCAGGTAAACTCATATATTCAGTCTAATTCTAGGTACTGTTTATGTCATCACATTGTTGATGTTAAACCTGCGGCCTTACGACGTCTGTTGTCTAAAACAGGTGATTTGTTTTGCTTTTCAGACGACTGTGCATTCTTAAAGGCATTTACCCTCACGAACCCAAGCACAAGAAGAAAGTGAACAAGGGCTCCACAGCCCCGAGAACATTTTACCTTCTCAAAGACATTCGCTTTCTTCTGCATGAGCCAATCGTTGGCAAATTCAGAGAGTACAAGGTAGTGTTCAATATTAAAAACAAACATAGACACTAGTGTGTTTTAACTTGATGTATCTTTGTCTTACTTTGACTCTACCATAACTGTTCTTTCTTTGTAAAGATCTTTGTTCGCAAACTTAAGAAAGCTTATGCAAAAACAGAACATACTGCAGTGGAAAGGCTAAAGGAGAACAAGCCAACATATAAATTGGACCACATTGTCAAAGAAAGGTAAGAAGTTAATCAATGTGACCCAAAACTATGAAATGTTATGTGTAAACACTTATGTCCAACGATAACCAACAAAGTTATTCCGTTATCTTTCAGGTATCCCACGTTCATTGATGCTCTTCGGGATATTGAAGATGCACTTTGTATGTGCTTCCTCTTCTCCACATTTGCTCGAACAGGAAAATGCCACGTGCAAACGATACAGCTGTGTCGACGGCTCACTGTGGAGTGGATGAACTTTGCGATCACCTCTCGTGCCCTCAGAAAGGTGCCAGCTTTAGTAATAACAGCATTGTTCCATTTTAAAAAGCAATGTTTTTATCTTGAGCTTGTCATTCACTTGTTTGGTTCTTTGCAGGTGTTCATCTCTATAAAAGGAATATATTACCAAGTCGAGGTGATGGGGCAGCTAATTACATGGCTGGTGCCGTATCAATTCTCGCATGATGTGAGTGCGCATTAATGAAAGGCAGCATATTGCATAATGATGTTGCAATTACTGAGCATGCAGAAGACCGCAAAGTAATAGTTTGATCCTGTTTTCCATAAACACTGAGCTCATCTTTGTTTTGCTCTTTTAGCACCCTACAGATGTTGACTACAGAGTCATGGCAACTTTCACAGAGTTCTACACAACTCTCTTGGGTTTCATCAACTTCCGACTCTATAATTCCCTCAATCTGGTTTACCCACCAAAGGTAAAATTAAGTTTCAGCCTCAAAACAGTTATGCAGAAATGTTTTTCTCCAAATTTTGTTGCCGGATTATGCATTTTATGATATCAAATCCACTCAAACTGCAATGTATTTTTGAGAAATTAACTTTAAAATCTTGTAAAAATCCGACAGTGAATTGCCAACTGCAATCGTATATTCTGTGCTGTTAAGGTTTGCTTTTCTTTTTAGCTTGATAGTAAAGCAGAGCAAGCGCTAAAGGACAATAATGAGGAGGACTATGCCTTGGATGCGGAAAGCTACTTGGAGGTGAAAATCATGGTCAACCGTATTAAATAGACGTTTGAATGTCTACTTGTTGCGCTTGTAAATGATATCTGATTGTGGATTTTCTTCCATTCAGAAACTCTCTGCCTTCAGTGCAAGTCTGACACGAGTGGTTTCTGCTGCGGAGGAAGAAGCGCAAATGGACCACTTTCCTGTTGATGAGGTAAAAAAACTGAAAACATGATTGACATCTTCAAATGTTATTTGCAATCTGTCTGTCCCTTTATCGATCATCTATCTGTTTCAGAAATGGGTGGGGAAGGAGGTGTGGCTAGGTAGGTAACCTAGCCACACCTCCTTCCCCACCCATTTCTGAAACAGCCCAAGTGTGGAAACACAACTTTGTCTTCCACAAATACGTGCTTTGCTGTTCGGCTGACCCCCGAAAGATTCATTCGCCAATTTTATGTATGCAAAAGTGACACTCGCGTGCAACCTCTTCGTCTTCGCTGTCATTGTCCTTGCCGTTAGGTATGATGAAATCAAGAGTGAGTAGATGAAGTAATTGGTCTCTGAGGGCAGAGGTGAGACTTTATATATGCCAAAGTATTTCAAGGTGTGAAACTGGGGAATACAGTCAAGTGTTTGGTTGCCAGGGATGAGGTGGAACCTCCCCCAATGAAGTTGCAGTTCAAATTTAAGGTCACAGCTCAGTCTTCCCATTTCGATTCAACCTAATTCAGGGGTTGCCACAGCGAATCGTCTTTCCGCGCTCAGTGTCCTTTGTATCTCCTGCCCTACTTTCAGGTATTTGCTAGTTTTCCCTCATCTCATACCTGGCCCATCAATTTCCGGCATCATCCAATGGCTGTATCACTGTCCCACATGTCCAATTGCTCACCAGCTTTGCCTCCAAACATTCCAGCCATTGCTGTCACTCTGATGACCTAATTCCTGATCCTGTTCATTCTTGCCACACCCATCTAGCCACTTCACCTCCATTCAATCTGCCCGGTCCCGCTACTGTCAGATGAGCCTTTGCTTTCCCCTTACCTGGTCATTTCCTTCATCCTGTCGGCACTTTGTTCTTCACCTGTCCTCCACATTCCCTCTGCTTGAACATCTTAGTCCCAAGTACTTGAACTCTTGCCCCTTTTGCACTCCTACTCTTTGCAATCGCGGCATTCCACCGGCCTCCCCCCCTTTCTTTCACACAAGGTCACAGATAAATATTGATACTTAATGAGTAACTTGCAATCCTTAAAAGTATTCTGTTTTGAGGTGTGTTGCCTTGGTGTTGATCACATTTCCCCATATCGGTGTGAGGGGGACAAATTGAGTTGCTGCTTCCTTTTAAAATATTGTCTCTTAAAGTGAATTTTAAGTTGTTGCAGCACTGCGATTAAACGGCTTGCAACTATGCTCCCTTTAGGAAGACATGGAAAAGTTGGAAGAAAGAGAAAAGGAGCAAAAGCAGCAGGAAGCCCAGAAAAAGATGTTTGAGGGATTGAAGTTTTTCCTCAACCGAGAGGTCCCCAGAGAGTCTCTGGCTTTTGTCATCAGGTGAGTGGGAACAACTGCACGCTAAACGCTAACGTAATCCTGCGGCATCGACACCTTCCTTGATTGCTATCAACATTGACAGGTGTTTTGGTGGCGAGGTGTCCTGGGACAGATCCGTCTGCATTGGGAGCACGTACGATGAGACCGATGAGACGATCACACATCACATTGTTGACAGACCCAGTGTTGGCACACAGTATATCAACAGGTGACATGAATGCGGCCGTGTTCATTTGGTGTGAAATTATCTACTCTGTGAATTTGAGAAAGTCTTCATCACTTCATCACCGTTTATTGCATTGCCATGTCAGGTACTACATCCAGCCCCAGTGGGTGTACGACTGTGTCAATGCCAAAATAGTCCTTCCTGTGGAGGACTACTTCATGGGAGTAACTCTTCCACCCCACTTGTCTCCATTTGTGGAGGAGAAGGAGGGAGACTATGTTCCTCCAGAGAAACTGAAGATAATGGCGTTGCAAAGGGGAGAGAAGCCTGGTAAGGCCTGTATTCATTGTCCAAGGCTAAAACTAGTATGATGTGACAATGTGTGGACTTTCTTCCTTTGCCGTGCGTATGTTTTTGTTACGCATTGAAACCAAGAGTGATGATTATGGACTTATTTGTGCCTCAATACTTTTTTTTTTTTTTTCCTTAACAGCCCAGCAAAATGATGAGGAAGAGGAGAGTGAGGAGGAGGAGGAAGGGGACGATGAAGATGATGATGAAGCTGAGGAGGAAGAAGACAAGGTACAAGAGAAGAAACTCAAAAAGATGGAGGCGCAAAGATCCCAGCCCAAGGTTTGTGACACATGAGCCGGCTTCCTCATCATCCCCCACCCGCTGCTTGAGAGGCAAAGATTGACTTGGCAATTTCAGGTCCGAGTGACTCCCGGTGTAATGAAAGTGGATAATCCAGCTCAACGGGAGCAGCAGGAGAAAGCCGAGGAGAAGCGACTAGCCATCATGATGATGAAGAAAAAGGACAAGTACCTCTATGACAAGATCATGTTTGGAAAAAAGAGAAAAGTCCGAGAGGTTTGTCCCATTTCTTGTTGCTCCAATATGGATTTCCATCACAATAAGTCTGTTTGCACTGATAAGTCGCACATTTGTAACAATGCGTTATTTACAATACCTGCCCTCTTATCGTTGCGGTGTGTGAATGTCAAACACTTAAGCAAACGTGTTTCTTCAAGAATGTACAGACCATGTGACCTTTGAGTCAACTCTTTGCTCCAACTGAATTTGTGCTTATTGGGCTCTTTTGTCCTCTCTCACAGACGAACAAGCTTGCCGCCAAGAGGAAAGCTCACGATGACAATGAAAAGGCAATGAAGAAAAAGGCCCGCAAATGAATTTGAATAAATATGACCCCATTTAACTTCGATACGACTAGTGCTGCAGGCTCACATGCAGTTCAAGTCCCACTGAGGGAGTCGCATGATTTTGTGGATGCATCAATATTTGTAATATTAGCATAACTATTACTGGTATGTAATTCTTGATGTAGATGCGACTATTAATTTTCTTCCATTTTTCAACCCCCCCCCCCACGCTGTTTTAACTTGTAGACTGTATTAGCAACCCAATGCAAACTCTTTGTTGACGCCATGCAATAATAATTCAATAAAATTGAATATTCCAGCCCATGACCCTCTTCAGTATAAGCGGTTTTGAAAATGAATAGATGGATCAATGGAATATTCCAGCTGTTGGTTTCTTCACACATCACCACAAAGAGGATTGCAATACCCACGGCAGGGAGGCAGAACAAAAACCCAAAACTTGATCTTTGTGGTCCACATCTGTCACGGTGCAGTCAAGCACACTGCCCCCTTTTCATGCTTCTATTGTGGTTCTGGTGGGCTTGTTCCGCCCCGCACACTCAATCTCCTCATTCATTTCCAAGTGTGTCTTCCTCATCCTGCTCTGCATTCCACACATGCCCACCCAGTTCGGGTCTCAGCCTGGCACTATGGATGCCTGAAGGAGCAGCATGATGGGTGCTCAACAAAAGAAACAGTGTCAAGCTGAAGTGTCTTACACAAATCGGGAGAGAATTTGACACGCTGACTGGGTTATACGTTTTTCCATACAAAACAGAACCAACTAAAATTGGATGTGAAATGTGACCATACATTCATTAACTATCAACAATGTTAGGTATGCCCTTCAATGAGATCCAATACAAGATCTGTATCAACAAATCTGCCTTCACAAAATCATTTTGTAGTGAATCCAAATTGAGGTGATTGTTCCATATTTGTTAGGTGGAGGCTGAAAGAGTTAATTAACCCTAAAAATAGAAATGCTATTAAATCCCCTCGGAGATAAACGACTGGAGACTGAAATGATGAAGACAAAGATAAGGTGCATCGACAAACCGTATTCTACTGCTTATCCTTTGAAGGGTCGCGGATGAGCTACAGCCTATCACAGCTAACTTCAAACTAAAGGCAGACTAAACCCTGAACTGGTTGCCAGTCAGTATCTGGGCACATGTACAGACAAACAGCCATCTGAATTAAATCCACACAGCCCATAATGATGTTCGGCAAATGTACCAAACCAGCATCAGTGATTTTCTTTTTAACTTTAATTAAAATGAATGAGTTGAAACAATGGCAACCTAAAGGCAAAACTATAACGGCCAGGCAGCGTGACAATCAACTCTCAGTCAACCATACATTCCCCATGTAACACGTACAGAAGGCGTATTTTAAAGAACTTGGATGTACAGAAGTCTTGATCAAGTGGTACAATTATGGTCTTTGTTCTTTGGCTGCCTGCATTTGTTCTTATGTTGATTTCCACCCCTCCTATCAGCTTGCAGCTCCGACTCCACCGTGTGCGCTCAATGGCCCTCTGTCTGGAGACACAGAATAGGGACTATACAAGCCTTACCTCCCTCGCTCCATCACTCCCCTCCCCCTTGTGTGGTACAGTCTCTCTCTCTTTCACTCTCTATGACAAGTGCTTGTCCCCTGACAGTGACCCTGATGTCACAGGGACACCAGGCTCCCTGCAGTGCTTCATTCAGCAAGATGGCTCTCGGATTAGAAAGTTAAGAGGGGGAGGCGGCCTGAGGCATCAGGTGCACCTGCATTGGCGCCGTGAAACCGGAGATAGGGGTAGATCTGTTATCTAAGGACATGTGATGAGTCGAGCACGCCTGGAACTTTAGTCCGTCTCGTCTCTACGTGTGTCAAGATCAGATGCAAGAACCGCTACAGGAGCAAGATCAACTTGTTTTAGCCAAGTGGAATACGAAGGGTACAGGCAATGCTAATGGACAAGCGTCACTTCCTTCCAGGTTGGGATTATTATGTATGAAGGTAAGAATTCACTAACCCTTCCTCTGAGTTGATTTCCCTAAATGAACTTTTTTTTTTTTTTAATTTACACGGCTACCAAGGATGACCTCAACATATTTTCTTGGTAATAACAATAGTCTTGTTTTGAAATTCATGCCAGTAAATTTGTCAATTTTCTTCACAAATATTCCCACAATTTATTTATTTATTTATTTATTTTTGCATCTACTGAAATCCAACGCACACACGGCAGCAGTAATTCAAAACCACACATTCCGTCACATCATTACGAGTAGCCCTTCAACTTAACTGATTTCAATATACAGTACTAATGAATTAATGCTACACTCTGGTTTTGTCCTTCAGAAAGTCCATTTGTGCTGGTGACTTGGTAAATGTGTCGTGCAGTATATGAACCTGCACAGGGTAATACATAGACATCACCCATTTATTTAATAATTCATTGGTGGTATTTATGGTTTAAATGCCTTGATATGTGTTGTTCATGAGCATACACCTTTATTGTAAAAATTGAGCATATGTCATTATACATGCAAAAACAAGCATTTGTACGATAGGCATGAGCCGTGTTCAATGCAGATAAACAAGTTGGTAATAGTGTGAGGTCCTACTGTCATAATAGCTAACAGTAAAGAGCAACTACATTATAAACAAGTTGGTAATAGTGTGAGGTCTCACTGTCATAATAGCTAACAGTAAAGAGCAACTACATTGATATTAATATATAAATTCCCATTTCTGATCCATTTATCACTTTTGGAATGGGGGAGGAAACCGGAATACCCAGAGAAAACCCACACACCCAGATTCATGAAATCTATTACAATTTGATAGAAACCTATTTCATGCCTTCTAATTGTTACCAGACCACAGTATTAAATGACAAAGAGAAGGCACGTGCTGTCTTTGAGTGGGGCACTGATGGTATCACAGAGCGCTAAACATGTTTTACAGAGCTGCAAAAAAATGCTGATATGCAGTCACTTCATTCTCATATTTTCAGTCAGAGTTTTTGCTGACACAGCACTGTGGCCAAAGTTTTAAGCACATGCGTTTCTGGCTTACTGCCACATTCCAAAAGACATGCTTCTTAAGCGATGTGAAGATTCGAAATTGTCCTTTGCTGCCAACGTGAATCGTTGTTTATATATGCTCGGCAATTGGCTGGCAACCATTCCAAGGTGTACACATGAGGGGCCACAGCAATCCGAGTGAATTGGATGAAAGAAACTTTTTCCTGAACTAACACAAAGCATTTATGTCTCTCATTATAAAAAATGAATATCATCTGTCATCTACTTTTAAAGACGATCCCTAAAATTCTGTGAGAATTAGGTGTTTCTAGTTGCAAAAGAACATTGTCACTGCGTCATGGCTAATCTCCAATGGAGAGATGACAGATAACTACAGATCAGTATCTACAGAAAACAGCATTTCATTCTTCTTAGGGAAATACAAAAAACACCCTCTCTCAGGCTGCTGATAACTGTACGATGTGGCACATTTTGTTCTGAAGCGCTGTGAATGCCTAACTTGCAACACTGTATGAATGACGCAAATGAAATGCTTTTGAGGTGGATTTAAAATAACTGTGATTGGCTGGCTACCAATCCAGGTTGTGCCCCATCTGTGGTCCAAAGTCAGCTCCAGCTGACCCACGACTCTCATGAGGACAGTCGCAATGCGAAATGGATGGATTGAAATTCAAGCGACCCTCCACCATCATCAAGTGCTTGAATGCGGACGCTCAGATTTTCAGCTCACTAAATGTTTTACATGCATGCCTTGCTATCAGTTGTTTTTCAGGTAACCCTTCAATTTGCTGGACCATGGCCGGAAAACACAGAAGGCATTGGAAGTCCACGTGCAAGCGTTTGGTCCTGGGTGTCCTGCTGGCCGGCAGCATTATCTTCCTTTACTGCCTGTCCATGACCCAAGTGCCTCTGAGCATTCCTGAGTATGGTGCAAAACACACACGCACACACACGCACGCACGCACACACGCAGTCCATGTATAAAATATCCAATATCCTCATTAAAAAACACGTCGTCCCCCTTCCAATAAAAAGCAAAAAAAAAAAAAAAAAAATCTTCAAAGTCACACGTCTGATTTATTGTGCTTCTCTCACCATACAATACATGACAGTGCCAGGCGATTAATCTGAATCGTCTAAATCAGTGGTTCTTAACCTTTTTAGAGGTACCGAACCCAACCAGTTAATATGCACAGTCACCGAACCCTTCATGAGTGAAAAATAAATACTATATATATATATTTTTTTTACAAATTCAAGATATGAAATTTTTTTTTATTAAAAACAGAAAAAAGTAAATAAAATTTCAAGAGATAAGTATACTTTTTTAAAAATTGTATGACAGTCACATGTTGAGTACGAAGCGAACTACATTTCCCACAGCACTGATTGGACAAGCAATGTAATGTGATCATCTGCAGCCAGTGATGGCCAAGCCGGCGTATCATAACTAATTAACATGTTGGCAGATTCTCCGTCAAACCCCTGAGAACGACTCACCGAACCCCTGGGGTTCGATTGAACCCAGGTTAAGAACCACTGGTCTAAATGTTGATTTTACAGCATTTAGTTGCCTTGAGAAACTGTTGCGCTGGGTACGCGTAAAAGAACTCATACAGTTTTGATGCAAAGTGAAAGTCATGAAATCACTTTTTAATGACCGTGTTGTTCATGTATGCGTGGGCAGGTTTAACAGTGTGTGTGTTTGGATGCTGCAGAATTCCAGTGCCTTACTCCTGCGCCCACCGTCCATCCCAGCTGCCCAGCAAACTAAACGGCAACAGCTCACGTGAAAGCACAGGGGAAATGTGCACCCCCAAAGTAGACATCATGTTCATGAAGACCCACAAGTCGGCGAGCAGCACCTTCCTCAACATCCTTTTCCGCTTTGGAGAGAAACACCAATTGAAGTTTGCGTTTCCCGACAGCAGGAATGACTTCTTCTACCCTGCCTTTTTCCAGCGCTCCCACGTTAAAGACTACAAACCTGGAATGTGCTTCAACATCATCTGTAATCACATGCGTTTCAATGGCGTCGAAGTGGCCAAGCTGCTTCCCCTTGATACCGCCTACATCAGCATTCTCAGAGACCCCGCAGAGCTTTTTGAGTCCTCCTTCCACTACTATGGTCGGCTGGTGCCTTTCACCTGGAAGATAGCGGGAGATGACAAGCTGGCAGAGTTCCTTCGTAACCCCCACTACTACTTTGACCCGGAGGGTTTTAACGCGTTCTACCTCAGGAACTTGCTGTTCTTTGACTTTGGACAGGACAACACCCTCGAGCTGGAGGATCCGCGTGTTGACGAGGGAATCAAATCCATCACGGAGCGTTTTCAGTTCTTCATCTTGGCGGAACATTTTGAGGAATCTCTCATCCTACTCAAGGATGCCCTCTGTTGGGAGATTGATGACCTCCTCTTCTTCAAGCTCAACGCCCGCAAGGAGTCAACTGTATCCAAACTGACACCCTACCTGAGGGCCAGGGCCCGTGAATGGAATGCTCTTGACTGGAAACTGTACCAGCACGTGAACCACACCTTCTGGAGGAAAGTGGATTCTTATGGACTGCAGCGCATGGCGGAGGATGTGGCTGAACTCAAAAGGAGGAACGCAGAGATGGTGGCTACCTGCATCGAAGGGGGACGCGCCGTTGATGCTGGCAGCATCCAGGAGAGTGTCATGCAGCCGTGGCAGCCAATCGGGGAGAAATCCATCATGGGATACAATCTGAAGAAGAACATTGACAAGGCCCACATAAAGTTGTGTCGGAAAATGTTGATGCCGGAAATTCAGTACTTGAGTGAGTTCGGAGTCAACCTGTGGATAACCAAGCTGTGGGGTCACATTAGAGACATCATTAACTGGTGACTAATTATGAGCAAGTGGGGATGATTCTGCAAGGTCGAATGTAGTCAGGCTGAATAAAAGTGATGGAGAACAAAGGGATTTGCAGTTCTGTGACATTTCAATCATCTCATGGGTGCTTAAGTGAAATATTTCACAATCTATAAATACCAAACTGAATTAAATTATTTTCTCTGTTGATTGAAATAGTCGCATATTTAGACACATTTTATTTGATTAAGCATGAGAATAATGTGATATCTTTGCATCTCTGATAGCTTGTGTTTATGAACAAACTAATGAAATGACACCACAATCTTGAATCCGTTATTGAGAAATTAAAAACCGGGCAGCTTCTTCAGCCAGAGACTGGTACACCCGCACTGCAAGAAGGAGAGGTGCCGCCGCTCATTCCTGCTGACTGCTGTCAGACTATTGAATAGACACACCTGAAAACCTGGACTCACCCCCACTCACCCATTTTAATATGCTTATATTTATATTTTATAATTTATATTCATTGAGACTTTTTGTTCTTCTACTTCTCCCTTTCATAATTTTGCTGCTGTAAATTGAGAATTTCTCCATTGTGAGACAAATACAGGTTTTTCTTTTTTATATATATATATGTGTGTGTGTGTGTGTGTGTGTGTGTGTGTGTGTGTGTGTGTAAAATATGAAATAAAAAATAAAATATAAAGTTTACGTTTTTTTTCCCCTCTTTCCAGGCTTTCCAGTGTGTGGGACATTCCAAGGAAATAGATGTTGTGTTAATTGAAGACTAAATTGCCCAGATGTGACTGTGAGTGTGAATGGTTTGCCCAGATGTGACTGTGAGTGTGAATGGTTGTTTGCCTATTCAATGTGTGCTCTGCTCAAAATATACTTGATTTTCCAAGTTCTACCACAATGACCGTGATGAAAAGTAGTCAGTAGTATAGTAGGTCCAAGTGTTTATGAAAAATTAGTTTGAGGTTTTATCAAATGTTCTGTGGTGGATTAAAAAAAAAATTAAGCCACTGTAACATTATAAACAGTTTGAACATTTCATTCAAGTCAGGGATCCTTTTACGTCCCACTCGTGTTACCCATACCACACTTTTAAGTATTCAGGATTCGTGGGTTTGTATCCAGGCTTCGGCCTCCTGTGACACACACACACGCACACACACGCACACACACACACACACACACACAGACACACACGCACACAGACGCACACACACGCAGAGGTATCCAGTCATCTGCTTGTCCAAGATGTTGAATTGCTGCCTAGTTCATCTATTTCATCCAATACAGTCGTACCAATGAAAAGCTCTTCCACTTGACGGCAATAGTTAACTGAAGCTGTACAGTTTAATTGTACTGTAATTGTATTGGTATGAAGGGCAAGCCATAAAACGTGTATCCACCCACCCACCTGTTGCCATTCATTCAACAAAATAACAGTCGTTATTTCCTGCAAGTATATCAGCTCTGTGCTCAATTAAACAGGACCATATTTCACATTGAGTAAGTACATTTTTGAGTGTATTGCGAAGAGATCACAAATGTTTCAGTGCACGTTTTGAGACATGTATGTTTGGTGGTGTGCAGTGATATTTTCAGCCATAACGGAATTGACCACTGGAGGTAGTCATGAGCTATGACGTCATTCAATCTCGGGGGCGTGACGGGGCACTGTGCAGTATGCATTCTCATGACAGCTCTCGTGCTTGCTAGTTTTAGTGGTCCTAATTTTTGCTCCTATTTCCCAAGCCACATACCAACAAATACACGAAACGGACGAAGATTTTATTATCGATTAATTCCCTTCCACGATTGTTGATAGAATTGTCTTTTTTTTCGTCGCTGTTTTGCACCTTCACGATAGCTTTGCAGCTAGCAGTTGTTTTTGTAGCATCGTCTTTTAGCTAGCAGCTAGCCGGAAGTTTTCGTTCTCTGCAATTGGATAATGACATTCGCTGCAGATGTCTGGCCCTGATACGTGCTCACGTTGGATGAGTGGAGAAAAAAATGTCGTGCAAATCAACCAAAGTGGCCCCCAGTGTTGACTTTGACCACAGTTGTTCAGACAGCGTGGAATATCTGACACTTAATTTTGGTCCTTTTGAGACTGTTCACCGTTGGAGAAGACTGCCTCCGTGTGATGAGTTTGTTGGAGCAAGGTAGGTACTGACAAGTTAAATGTGCTAGTAACAGATCAAAACGTGTCTGTTGGTTTACTTTGTGCAGGCGCAGCAAACACACTGTTGTGGCATATAGGGATGCAATCTACGTGTTTGGGGGAGACAATGGGTGAGTAAGACGTTGACAGCGCTATTTTTTGCTCCATTAAATGATATTAAAATGACATGTCTCTCAACAGCAAGAACATGTTGAATGATTTGCTGCGCTTTGATGTGAAGGACTGCTCATGGTGTCGGTAGGAAATGATTCCATTAAAAAGTGTCATCAAATCATAAAATGTGAAATGTGGCTATTGACTACAATATATTCCGCAGGGCCTTCACGACAGGAACTCCACCTGCTCCCCGCTATCACCATTCAGCTGTTGTCTACGGCAGCAGCATGTTTGTTTTTGGTATACCCCTGACCGCTCCCTTCTTAAACAGTATCTACAAATGTTGAATACACTATATGGAATCTTGATGAATCTTTTTTCAAATGCATTTCAGGGGGATATACTGGAGACATATACTCCAACTCAAACCTTAAAAACAAAAATGATCTTTTTGAATACAAGTTTGCCACAGGACAGTGGACTGAATGGAAAGTGGAGGGGAGGTAATATATACAATCTATTTAACTTGAACATATTTGATTGAAGTAGTGATGAAGCAAGCGTTCAGTCGATTGTTTCCAACGATGCGGAAATACTTTAATTATGGTTACATGAAGCGCTGCTGTTACATGCCTTCTGTTGTGTGTTCTAGCTTGCCAGTGGCCCGCTCTGCTCACGGAGCCACAGTTTACAGTGATAAGTTGTGGATATTTGCTGGTTATGACGGGAATGCCAGGTAAGTTTGATTCCACAGTGTTGGCGCCTTTTCATAACACCAATGTGTGTAATTGCAATGTCTATTTTTCTCCTTGTAGATTGAATGACATGTGGACCATCAGTCTGCAGGACAGGGAGCATGCATGTTGGGAAGAGGCCAGTTTATGAGCATCACTTATGCTTTAGCCCACACCCGTGACTCTAATATGTTGACATCTATGTTTCTGTGTCACTATCAGATCGAACAGAGTGGTGAGATTCCTCCTTCTTGCTGCAACTTCCCCGTAGCTGTTTGCAGGGACAAGATGTTTGTGTTCTCGGGTCAGAGTGGGGCCAAGATAACAAACAACCTCTTCCAGTTTGAGTTTAATGGCCACATGTGAGCTGAAGCAATACTACTGAATGTAACTTGCACACACGACGTATCTAGCAGCTGCTAATGTTCCGACCGCCATCCCTGCAGGTGGACGCGTATACCCACTGAACATTTACTTCGAGGCTCTCCGCCACCTCCGCAGCGCCGTTATGGCCACACAATGGTTGCCTTCGATCGCCACCTGTACGTGTTTGGCGGCGCTGCTGATAACACTCTGCCCAACGAGCTGCACTGCTATGATGTGGACTCTCAGAGCTGGGAGGTGATCCACCCCAGCTTGGACAGTGAGGTATGAATTCTCAATGATCTCAAGGACCATCACTGATGATGCGCCTCGGCTCTGCATCAGAAAATGTTTTATTACAACGGCTCTGTATTCTCATATTTTCACAAGGTTATGACCCACTTTTAGAGATATTGGGACAAATAGAGTAAATGTATTGATGAAAAGCTGCTTTTGAAAACATGAGATCATATTTTTAAACTCCCCATGCATGAAGAACTTGAGGATGAAGACGACAAAAATGAATATAGTAAAATGAAATATGCATTGTGCTAGTTTTCTTTCGGTCTGCGCTGATATTCAAATGAGTTTGAATGGTGGGGAGGGGGGGGGCATACCACCTGACGTCGCAGTTCAGTTGCTGGGGAGGATCCCGTCGACATTTAGATGCACGTTTGATGCAACAAAGTCAGTGCTTCCCGACCTGTCCTGAAATAATACACGTTGCCTTATCTCAGTCGGACCTCAAAGGTTTAGCACAATCCTTCAATTTGTTCAAATTTGGATACATTTTTTGCATGGAAAATAATCTTTTTTTTTTTAACTGTGCAGGGCAAGTTTTGAATAGCATTAAAAATTTCTGAATTGTCATACAAGTGTAAAGATTTTTACTGCTGTTTGATTACTGTTACACAAATTTAGTCTGTGTTTTTGTTTAGGTTCTAACCCAAACAAAAACACATACTGACCCGAACCGAGAGATATTGTCCAGAAATGTTTGTTTGACTTTCTAACATGAATTAAAATTCTCTTCTACTTTTTGTGTCCTTGCCTTCTCAGATGCCCAGTGGGAGACTCTTCCACGCAGCCGCCGTGATTCAAGACGCCATGTATATCTTTGGAGGGACCGTGGATAACAATGTTCGCAGTGGAGAGATGTACAGGTTTCAGGTGGGCAAGTGTTCAGATGTTGCTTGTCTTCAGGGCATTTCTAGGTTTCTTCCTTTGTGGAAGTTTTCCTTTTCCTCCGTCGTCCTGTATACGGTACCTGCTGTTTATGGAGAGTATCCGGAGATATCATCTGTTTGTGAATTGGCGTTATATAAAGAAAATGCACTTGATTTGACTTACATTGTTCTAATCAATCAGTTTCCTCATGATTATTTGTCTTTCTTTTGCAGTTTTCGTGCTATCCCAAGTGCACTCTCCATGAAGACTATGGCAAATTGTGGGAAAACCGTCAGTTCTGTGACGTGGAGTTTATCCTGGGAGAGGTGGGTTTAGCTCTCATGCGCAATATTGCCGTCATTTATTTATTCAACAGTGAATGAACGTATTTGTTGTAGCGGGAAGAACGAGTTCTGGGACATATAGCCATCGTGACCGCGAGATGCCAGTGGCTGCGCAGGAAAATCCTGCAGGCTCGGGAAAGGCAGCGACAGGTCAGAACCTTTCAGGGTTTTTTTTTGTTTTTTTTTTTGCGGGGGGGGGGGCAAAACAAAAACTCGCAATACTTGATGAAGACATGTATGCGTGTAAAATGAAAATGCAAGACTTTGATGAAACACATCCCTTCATGGTTTTCATGGGCTGACTTTTAGAAGTGACCATGAAGGAGTCTGCATGTGTAAATGGAAGCCGAGATGCTCGGGCTGATGTATTTCCTTTGTCGCAGAGAGAACTTTTGATAGGATCTCATAATAAGATTGTGCAGGTAAACATGAGAGAGGGGACATTCTCATGCGGACTTAAACGAGAGGAAATTTTGTCTCTACGACTGTACAAACGTTTTTTTGTTTTGTTTTGTTTTAGAGGACCAAACAGGACAGCTGTGAGGAGAGCGATGAAGGGGCCACTGGTGGAGGGATTCACAGGCCGTCAGGCAGACAGCCAATGCTGGAGGTGTCCATCAGGGAAGCAGAAGCTCAACCTTTTGAAGTCTTAATGCAGTTTCTCTACACAGACAAAATCCAGTACCCACGCAGAGGTAGCGTTGTTGGCCACATCTTTGTATATAACGGTGGTGTTTCTAAGGTCATAAGCACCGTCGGTTCTTGACCTCTGAATTATTCCGATTTTGAAATAACTTAACTGGGTCATGCAGTATGTTGATGTTTTGTCCCACTTTTAAAGGCACATTTTCCAGAAAATTGTGGGTGATTTCCTGACTCGACATCCTCCACGGCGTTCCTCTTTTGACGTTCCATTGTATTCAGATGAAGTTTTTGTGAACCGGTTTCAATTTGTAAAGTCGGTGTTCTTCTATTTGCAGGCCATGTTCAGGATGTTCTCCTAATCATGGATGTTTACAAACTGGCCCTGAGCTTTAAGCTCTCCCGCTTGGAGCAGCTGTGTGTTCAGTATATTGAGGCTTCTGTGGACTTGCAGAACGTGCTCAGCGTTTGTGAAAATGCCAACAAACTCCAACTCGACCAGCTGAAGGTACTCTTTACTGACCACCGCTGGTTTTGCTGGTAATCTCATCACCCTGTCAGCAGGTTCCTCAAAAACGGCACCGTGAATCCGTTTCTTGCCATCCACGATCGGTGAAAATCTGCTTTCCAAAGAGACCATATAAAAATGATTTGATTCATCCCCAAAAATTTCAACCTCGCCAAAGGCTTTAACTACATTGAAACTTATGAAAACAAACCCAGCTGTTCTTCAAATAAGAGCTAAAGACTGCTTTCTTCAGGTAGCGTCAATCCCACTTGAAGGTAACTGACAAACGCAAAAGTGATTTAAATATTGCGCAATTGTTTGCAAGTCAAAGCTGAAAATTGACCGAGCGACGGTTCATATTTCAAAAAACTTAACCGGTCACCCCTAAGTCGAGCTTATCACTGTTCATGTATCTATTTCTGTTCTCCACTGAAGGCATGCAACTCCAAATTCAGATGCGCAGGTATAAAAATGTTAAAAAGAAAAATCAAAATACGAACACTTAAAATCCAAAACATAACAAGAGGCATCAACGACGAAGCCCCATTCACTCCCATTTCTCTTTTCCTTCAGGAACATTGCCTTAATTTTGTGGTGAAGGAATCCCACTTCAACCAGGTGATCATGACGAGGGAATTTGAACATCTGTCCACGCCACTGATCGTGGAGATAGTCCGACGAAAGCAGCAGCCGCCTCCCAGGCTGTACTCGGACCAGCCTGTGGACATCGGGACCTCCCTGGTGCAGGACACGAAGGCTTACCTAGAGGGAGGGGGCCTGGAGTTCTGTGACATCATTCTGCTGTTGGACGGACACCCCCGACCTGCTCATAAAGCCATCCTGGCGGCTCGTTCCAGGTACTTCCAGGACTCCAGGGAGTCTTTTTTTTGGTTTCTTCCACCGATTCATCACCTATACTCCATGTACCCTCAGTTATTTTGAGGCCATGTTCCGCTCCTTCATGCCAGAGGATGGCCAGGTAAATATCTCTATTGGAGAGATGGTTCCCAGTAAGCAGGCATTCGAGTCCATGCTGCGCTACATCTACTATGGAGACGTCAACATGCCTCCGGAAGATTCTCTGTATCCTTGTCAAATTTAGTGGCATGTTGTACCAAACCCTGCACGAATAATGGACAGAAACCCCATCAGGGTTTTTTTTTCTTTCTTTTTTTTGGGTGAGTGGAGTACATATCCCAAAATGACTATAGTACCAACCAGTGGTCATTTATGGGAACTTCCTAATATGGTACTACACTACAGCGACATGACATGGGAAAAATATTACAAAGATCTCTTATTATTTCTTACAATTCTACACCTCTGCAAACAATGGCCCCAGGTGGGGTTGTCATAATATAGTGCGATATAATCAAAATGGAACCGTTATTGAGTCTTTTCCTTGACCTTTTGTTCTACAGTTATCTGTTTGCCGCGCCATATTATTACGGCTTTTCAAATAACAGGTTGCAGGCTTACTGCAAGCAGAACCTGGAGATGAATGTCACTGTGGAAAATGTCTTGCAGGTATTTGAATATGAGGGCTTTACAGAGGGGACAGTAACCTGAATGGACAACGCCGCTTATTGTATGTATGTGATGTTTTTTTTTCCCCCCCCTCCCATCCTCTGCAGATTCTGGAGGCGGCCGATAAAACGCAGGCTCTGGATATGAAGAAGCACTGCCTCCATATAATTGTCCACCAGTTCATCAAGGTGGGTGGGCTCATATCCGGCGTCCTGGGGGCTTGCTGCCCACTCGCTGCAGCTGAGCTAACCTTGCAGTCACGTCGTCTTTGCAGGAGACTTGACACTGTTAGCCTGCTAGTGGAGCGGCCTCCATCTCCTCTGTAGAGAAGGAGAGTGTTTACAGGGCGGCCGGCTGAACAAGCACCTCCTCGCGTATCCACGAGGCTCGAATGTGCCTCTTTTGTTGTTATTGTTTGCTTATCCAGAAAAAACGCTCAACCCTCGTCACTGACGTTTTTGTTCAGCTTGCTTCATATTTTTCAGCATGAGCAAATCGAGTGCCGTTTATGCTTTATTTTTGCTCTGTTTGACTATCGTCTTTTTTCCCCCCTTTTTTTAATTTTTTGCTCTCCTCCTCCCCTTCCAAAGGTATCCAAGCTCCCCAACCTGCGATCCCTCAGCCAGTTGCTGCTGTTGGACATCATTGAGTCTCTAGCTACACACATATCAGACAAGCAGTGTGCTGAGATGGGCTCCGACATTTAGGAGGATGGCAAGAGACCTACACTCGTATTTCAGTCCACTTTTCCCAAAAGCTGTTTACAAGATCTCCACACCATTCCTCACTTTGATTGCACCCTGCATGTTTTCATCTCACACATGCCGCATTCATTTGATAGCAAGGTGCTTTGTTCTTTCATCTGCATATCATTGCGTTAAGTCATTTAATTTATTTTGTATAGAGCAACTGGTCCAATCTTCTTGGATGTTTTTATAAATTATTTTTATTTTTTTTGCAAATTATTATTTTTCCTGGAAAAAAATCAACCATAAAATTGTTCCCACCATGTCCCTTAACAGCTGGAACTACCAAACTGTGTAATTTGTATTTGCTGGATCAGCATTATTACCTTACACAATTACAATTGGTATATTATCATATACTTGATATTTTCTTGTGCTATACTGTATTATAAAAAAATGTTATTGATAGCCGTGTGTGACATTAACCACTACTATTAAACATTACCCATGTTTATCTGACATTACAACAAGCTACCGTATATCTGTTAATACATATTTGCACATGTGAGTTAAAATGTACTGTATTAAAAAAAAATAAATCTTTATGTGAAAGAAAATAGACAAAATAATTGAGTGTCTGTTATGAACTCGTAGATTTGATATACAATGGATTATTACACGTGTTGTATAAACCCCTACCTGATGACGATGGGCGACATTTGTCCTTAAATTCTATTCATCACAACCCTCTGGCCTTTTAGTTTCTGGACTGTGGTGGATGTTAATCTGACTCAGTGCTTATTGTCTTGAGAGGATAAAATCCTTGTTTGTTTTTTTTTTTTTTTTTAGCGTTTTAGTTTCTGGACTGTGGTGGGTGATAATCTGACTCAGTGTTTATTGGCTTGAGAGGATAAAATCCTTGTTTGTTTTTTTTAAGATTTTGTCGAGATTTTTGTTTCTCTCTCAAAAAAAAAAAAAAAAAATTGTTTCTCTCTCTCAAAAAAAAAAAATTAATTCAATGATACCTTGACTTTACAAACATTTTAACGTCTAGGTTTTTTAAGTTATGAGCTGCTGCCTTGTTGATTTTTTTTAAATTTTCATGGCTTTCTGTTGTGGCTCTGAACTGAACTGCAATGCCCTCCCAAGAGAGCCTCTTGGTGTAGTCTCTGATGCACTTAAAGACAATTTGGAATAAGGCATTCGGGGATGGCGCTACACTGTGGGCAGGGGCTGCTATAGCCTTGTCAGAAATCTGTGTAAACCCAGTTAAGCTCCTACAGCACTTTATTTGAGATTCTAAAATCCATTTATAATTTATTTTCTCAGCCATCCAATATATTGGTCACGCCACTTTTTGCCCCTGGAGAGAAAAAATCCTGTAGCCATTCCCGCAAACAGTCAAACACAGACACATATACAAAATGAAAACACTTTCAAGAATCAACTCTGACTCAGCACGATGTAACTCACTATGCCACACTGCTTGAAACTACATATCCAGCACGCAATATGTACAGTAATCAACCACGGAATAAATTAAACTCAAGAGTCAAGCTACCACTTTTTATTTTATGATGGCTGACAGACATCAAGTGTGACATCCACTTTTGACTTAGGTTTAAACTACCGATTGTGGATCCTTTTTGACAATAAAAATTCTGCCTACATTCATGAAAGCCTCATCCGGAGAGTCAAGTCTTGTCAAATGTCACATCTTAATTAGACATAAACTCCGGAAAAGCTGGAATGAGTTCCACGTGGCCGCAGAAAGAAGTCTTTATGGCGGCTGCTTCTTTTCTGTACTCATGTTTCATTCGTTCAAGGGTAGCCAGGCCCAGGATGGCATGGGCCTTCTCAGGTTTCATTTAAAACAGAGTTCATTGAACACCGAAACAAAACAGAGATTGTCTCCCACTCATCGGTTGTGATTTTTTTTTTTTTTTTAAATATGAAAGAGCCTCAAGGGAGGAGGGCTACATCAGCAGGTGGGCCGGGTTGTGAATTTTCAGTTTGCGAGGCACATTGCGGCAGGCTTGCAGGTCGCGATGGTTCTCCTCACCACAAAAAGTATGCAAAGGACGGCAGTCTTTGTCACCTTCGGGGGACTGGTGACCTCCTTCATCACCACCTTCCTTCCGCTGTGGAAGACAATGAATTCGGACTTGAACGAAGTAGAAAACTGGTACTCGGGACTGTGGCACATGTGCCTCTATACGGAGGAGGTCGGAGTGCAGTGTAAGGCCTACGACTCCTTGCTGGGACTTCCTGTTGACCTGCAGATCTCCAGGGTGCTCATGTTGGTGTCGGTATGCACCGGCGGATTGGCTTTGCTGGTTGCCCTGCCAGGACTGGACGGGGTGCGTGTGTGTTTGGACAAGTATGCAAAGAGGAGAAGCTTCCTGATCCTGGGTGGGGTGCTGGCCTGTGTGGCGGGGATCACCACGCTGGCTCCGGTGTCCTTCGTGGCATACACCACAGTTGTGGAGTTTTGGGATAAAGGTTTTCCCGATGTGATGCCACGCTGGGAGTACGGAGAGGCCATGTTCTCTGGATGGTTTGGAGGATTGGCGTTGCTCACCGGAGGGACTTTGTTCTTCATAGCTGTGTGCATGGCCGACTATGAGCTGCGGAAAACAAGTGTGACCAACAGTCCACATGTAAAGCGCAGGACACGACACTACCGCAAGACTGAGGTTTTGTAAAATTGTGTATACATTTTGGAGTTGACTAATGCTAGCTGGCTATGTGTCGATCATTTTTTTTAGATCTGTGATTCTATTGTGACAAAAGTAAAGTCTCGTCTTTGTTGTTGAAAGTCAGATAATCATTACAAAGCAATGGATTTTTTTTTAAAAGTGACAACAGAATGACTGATTTATCAAAATAATGATGGAGTTTTCATTTTAACAGCAGGTTATCAAGCTTCTGGCAAATTAGAGCCTATAAACATTACACCATTAATCTCAGTTAGCTTTGATTAATTTATGTGATTGCGAATCACAGAAGAAAAAGAAAAACACGAACATGGTTAGTGCTGGATGATTTGTTAAAATCCAACAAGTCATAAATGTCATGTTTCGGTTTGTGACCAACAGGTGGCACTGTAGGGCTCTCCCTGCAGCTGCACACCTGTTGGTCGTTTGTTTGCTGCTGTCATGTTTGTTCCGGTCATGTTTCGGTTATTGATAGTTTTTGCTTCAGTCATGGTTTTGGTTTGCTACTTTGGATTCTTTTTGTTTTCAGGACTTTGTTTTGTTTAGAATTTAGTTTTCTCTGTGTTTTAATACAATTTGTCAAGTACACCCTGCTCCTCCCTCTTGCCTGCCTTTTGGGGTCCACCACCACCACCTCGCAACGTGACAATAAAAAATGATGAGATTGGCTTAGAATACGCTTATGGTTTTATCTATCTATCTCTAAGTGTTGTAAAGAGACTCTGTTTTATTTTATATATGTGATACGTTCCACAGCTGCAGTAATACTGTATTGGATTTTTTGAAGATGGGCAGCGGGGCTGTGGGGGAGCCTTGTCTAGGCCATCTACCACCGGGAGTCATTAATGCACACTACTCTGTAGTGATGATTAGAATTCACAAAATGTCACACGGCGACTTGCTGACATCGACTGACTGGATATCAATCTGCCTTCCTTGTTGCTTTAATGCAGGAACACTCCCAGGATCACTTCAATCTTCTGGCGGCTGATGCCGCATGTCGTTTGCATATTTTCTTCCCCCGAACCAATCTTGATGTCTCCTTCTCGCATGCTGCGCCATAATTCAATTAAAGTGGTTGCCTGAGCGCTGAGCTGTTGTCTTCCCGCACTTTTATCATCCTCTTGTGTCAAAAGAATCTGCGTGGTGTTGTCGGTGACCTTGTCTCAGAGATACACGATGTTCCTCATGATTAAACATGCCGTATGCACTTTTTGTTCATTTTTGAGTCAGTGTGATAACCTAGAGCTGAAAAAAAAAATCTAAACTAAAAATCAAACTATTTTATTGCAAACTGCTCAGATTCCGAATGACTGTGCACAAAAGTTAGAAAAAAAAATCAAATAGACCCTTAAAAATCTGTTGTATTTCTGCTATTATATAACAAATGCTCTTTTGATCAAAAACATCTTTGCCAGTCAAGTTCCATGTTATTTTTCACCAACATTTGAATTCCTTGGAAAGTTTCTGCCTTGATCTCATTATAGGATGCAAGAATTGCCCGAGATGCTGTTCGTTCCTATTGTTGACCCACTTTTTATCATATTTGTTCAAACTGTCAGTATGGTCTGAGAGTAGAGGACGTGACTGAAATGATCCGTGGAAAAAAAAAATCTGCCCTCTTTGACACCACCTAGTAGCTCAAATTTGAGAAAAACAAATCAATCAGAGACAGAAGGTGCGACTGACTTGGTGTCAACCATTTCGCATGCACACAGCAGTGGCCTCGAAGGAGCTTTGCTGAACCTATGGCGAGAAATCCACCTCCAGATTTTTTTGAATGAACTCTCAGCCATATAAGTTTTAAATGCATGCTGGTGTTCAGTACACATGCGTGTTTCACGATGTTTATTATTACAAAGCCTCTAATTGCAAACACAGAGGCAGCGCATTGAGAAGATTTTTGCTCATTTTGACAGGCAAATCATGTCTTTAGTATCTGAAGGCAAGGCGGAGAGGGTCTGCACTGAAAAAGCCAGCAGAGAGAGAGCGAGAGAGTGTGTGTGTGTGTGTGTGTTTGGGAACGGGGGAGGGAGTGGAGGGCATGGTGCGAATTCATGCTGTGTTAGCATCCCCTCAGCAACTCCATCAATACTGCATACAGCTAAGAAACTGGCAAAGGTTCGCTGTGCTGCATTTACAGGCTCGGCCAGTGAAAGAGAGCAACTCCCACGACCGGTCAGCTCAGTCTGCTGCTGCTGAAAGGGGCGCGCACACACACACACACACACACACACAACAGCCTGTGCTGCATCAAGAGGGAGCAAGGAGGGACACACGGAGTGGGAATACTCTGAGGGAGAAGAAGGAGTCCCACAGAGGAAGTGGATTGTTGGGGAGTAGTGCAAATATGTTCTCTGCACCGCAGCGCTCCATGCACCTGCTCCAGGACCGCAGCGCTTTTTGGTAAGCTCTGCTTGACACATTTTTATCATCTATGGGTAATTGTTTGAAAACAGGACCTGAAATGGGCAAATTAAGCAAGGGAAAGTGTCTCATTCAGAGGGCAATGTAACACTAGTAACTCTACAATGCTGGAGAACTTCTTTAGAATTTTGGAGCTACACTCGCCCCCCCAAAAAAATGTATATGTGTGTATGTCTGAGTGCGTTTGTATCTATAGCCTGTAAAAAAACACAACTTGTTTTTTGTGGCTAAAACAGTAATTTAAGTTGTATGTATATATAATACACACACACACACACACACACACACACACACACATAAACGACTGACATTTGTGGCAGCAGCGTTAGTAATCAAAACAATTTGCTGAGTTTTATTTTTTTAAGTTGGGGGACAACACAAGGAGCAATAAGTTCCGGAAACTCTTAATTCTTTGCTGAGGAATGTGTTCATACCAATATTCACAACAGCAGAACTTAAAATATTTTTGAACTGCGTCAACTTAAAACTTATGGAAGTTTGTTGTCTTGAAATTTTTTTTGTAACGGTATGGTAAAATAGTTGCCTGTGGATAAAATGGAGGCTTAAAATGTCCCATTTCACTTTTCCATTGCGTCACAGGGTCTTTAGAAGTTGCTGAAGATCAGCTCAGCAACTATTTGGGTATCTCCCGCAAAGATTCAATTGTAGAGCTCCCTCATTTTCTTTGATAGTTTGTTGTCACGACTCACTTATGTAGTGAATAAATCCACTCTCAAAGCTTTTTTCCAGCTCCTTGCTCACTTTCGATCTGCGTCCTCCAGCTCGGGGCGCTCGCTTCTTTTCATTGGACGTGTTTTTCCCGATGGCAAATTCTTTGGGGTGCAATGCTGAATTTTGTTCAGCAGGTTTTGCTCTGGGTTTGTCCAGCATTTTCCCACTTTAATTTGCCAAGAAAACTTGAGCTTTAAAGATGCCGCCTCTGCTCCACAGGTGCTGTAGCAAAGACATCTACACATGGCATGTAGAAAGTTGTCATAGGAATATTTATTTTATTTTATTTTTTTGAGAGGAAAAACGTTTGGCATCTATTTGAGGTGTGACATTTATGTATTCAAGTGGATAATGTATGGCTTTTAGAGGGGAGGCCCCAATTTGAGGAAATACACTGTTAGTCTTAATTTCTCTGGACGATTCATTTGAATCATTCTTCATTTAACTAGTGACAGATGAATAGCCACTTTCAAGAAAAAAAAAATTAAAGGAATGTTGTTTGCAAGTGGAAGAAGTATGCTGGACACTTACAAATTATACGATTTAAAGATAAATGTGATCCGATCATTTCCACTTTTTTTTGCACTCCACACAATTGCAACCAGGAACATTAGCATTAAAGCTAGTGCTAACACATCAGGAGAGGTGTCCTGGCTGGTGTTCCAACGTTACTTTTTCTTCACTTGTCATTCCACAGCCTGTCATGTTCAACCATTGAGCAAACAAAGCGCATGACCTCTGACAGTCTGGGGACGATTAGGGCGGCTTATCTTGTATTTGATGAGCCAATAGGATATGCAAAGTGAGGGAAACTGGTGCGGTCGACTATTTCGTATGTGGCTGGATTGCAAAGAGCTCTTGTGTGAAGATCAGAGGGAGCGGTCACAAACGGAGTCGGCGGACCAATACCATACCAGACAAATGGTACAAGAGTATTTTAGAGCATTTCCTGTTACAATTTGGTTTTGTCATGCGGCGAATACAAATATTGTGGTCCTGTTCGAAGCTATGGACGTTTCGCTCAGATTGGTGGTGCTCAACATTCCTGCTTTTCTTGGTCACAGTCAGGTTATGGATCGGGCGACCAAGCTACTAATTCTCCCCCGCCCCTACCGACATTCCTGTAAGCGGTCTTACAATTGGAGGGAAATGAGTGAAAGTGACAGCTTCTCGGCAGACTGGATTATTAGCATTGCTTGGGGACGCGCTCGACCAACAGCCAGCAGCTGCCATTTGCGTCATATGTTGTGACGAACAAATCTGATTAACCTACTTTACTTTGGAGCAAAATATCTCGGGCTCGCTGGAACACCCGGATGGTCTGTTGTTCATTACAAAGTTGCAACAAGTGCACGAGAGGCGATCTTAAACAGTTATTTACGGACGCTCCGATCCAATCGTGCTGATCAGAAACCAAGGCGGATCACGTGATTTTTAGCTGATCGGGGATAAGGGCAAGAAGATTGTTTTACTTCCTTTTCAGAGTTTTGAGAGGTCACGAAGGTGACCAAATAATTCAAAGCGATAAAAAGCTTGTTAAATTGAACAGTAGTAACACACACATACACACGCGCACATCCGCCTATCGCACGGTTGTTGAAGACGCGAAGTTAAAAAAAAAAAAGTAAAAAATACTGAACTGTGCAGCACTTAAAATTTGTACGTACAGTATCTATGGCATAGAAGTGAAGGAGGGAGAGTCTGTCACTCAAATGCATGAGTGCAATTGGTAAATGAGGCTATCATTGCCAATAGCCTCTGAAATCTAGTACAGTATAGCGTCTCTCCTATCCTCTCACCTGTTTCCTCCCTTTGTCATTTTTTCCGTTGCAGTGAGATGGTGTGTGTGTGCTCGAGTCAACCGCCAAGTGTGTGGGGCATGAGTCGCCAACTGCAATTTCTTTGCAAGTGTCCATTTCAGGCCGTGATGCTTGATGCGCATTGGGCCCCACGATAAAAATTCACTCTTAACGAGATCAGTTTCCGACAAACCACATGAAGTCGGACGTCATATTAAAGCTATTGATGGGGACTTTCCATATCTCCAAACTCTTATGTTGTCACTATGCTCTTATTGTAGAGATGCAATGACTTTTTTTTGTTGTTGCTTGAAATGGCAACCAAACTCCACCGCTTATTAAAATCTACAACCAATCACTTGATAGCCATCATCTAGTGGTTTCAAATGTTCAGGGTCAAGTATCTCTGACACAATAAATTCTACTGTTCTGTCATTTTAATCAGACTGTCTCCAAATGATGGACATGTGGCAGGTCACTGAAACGGTTTTGGGGGGGTGATTGCCAAAGGTCAACACTAAAAGGTCAAACAGCATACAAAAAGGATGCAATTTGATGGGCTTCGTTAGTGCAACAGTGGGGACAATTTTTACAAAAGTTTTACAGCAGCAAAGCAGACAGTACCGGGGATAAAAACGAGAAAGCAAAAACAAAAACAAAAAAATCCATGCCATTTTTTTGCAATCTCAACTCAACCCCATTTTTATAGTACAACTGACAATCAGCAAGAGTAGAAAAGGCAACAAGATCCAGTCAAGAATAATGGCTTTCGTCTAATTGAGTATACCTACTGTATGAGGTCAATACACGCGTAAACAACAGATAAGAGCATTTACTACCGGAAAACATGCAATGCCTGTTTTTATGGGTGGGGGGTGTATTTTGTGTCCAATTGCTGCAGTAATTAAAAGGCCTCTATCACGAGCAAGTTACTTTGCAAAGTTGATCTCCAGTGACTCGGCCTCAGCAACAGAGAGGCCGGACACAGTGGGGATCTTTCCACTTCTCATTTGGAACTTTGCAGCACACACATCCATTCAGCCGCGCACACTTTTTTTTTCCCCCCCGTCCCTGAAGTTCAAGGACTTAAAGATGTGCGCAGAATAGCAAGTAGCTCTCTTGGGTTTTGCTTCACGTGGGTAACTCACTTAACGGACGGCTGCGTGTTGTAAGACGCAACGTGCCGCCCCGCACGCACTCAAAATGGGCCGAGCTCGGCGGGGAGGCACTGTATCCATGCGAGGTTCAAATACGAGAGCTGCTCGAGATGTGGGCGCAATTTGGCAACAAAACGGGGGGGGGAGGGGAGAGATTTTGAAACTCAAGGGGCCCCTCGCTTTCCTTTCGTGTGCACTGTGACAAGAAAGTTAATAGGTGTCGGAGTGCCGTTAATATTTAACAGTTCCCCTATGCAATATGCATGAACAACGGTAACCATGTGTGGACTGATGTCGTCAATTGGCAGGATTGCTTCCTTTTTACGAGCACCCGCGTGAGACAAAGCAAATTTGAACGGACTGAGATTTTGGAAAAGCGCATTGCAAATTCAACGGGAATGATTATTTCTTCAACGCTTTTGCCGAGGTGCAAGAACGCAGCCGTCGCGCTGTCACCTTTGTTCTCGCATAGGTTCTTGAAGTTTATCATCGTTGAAAGGTGGCACAAATAAATACAGCTCAATTGTGTCAATGTGGACAACAGACTACAGATGTGCCTTTTACAACAATACATTGCTGCGAGGTCAAAGGACAAAATAATATATTACAATGATTTTTAAGGTTGCTTTTTGGAGCGGCTTAGTTGATATGACTCCTCCTTCTCTTCTTACAACAACGATACTACGGTACTCCGGGTTCTGTGGGTGCCCCTCCCAAGGTGGATACCAGGGACTAGGGGCCACTGACCCCCCCTAACCCCCCGAGATGCACGGCACTGATCTGGACAAGCCGGCAGCCAATGGCAGTTGACAAAATATGTCACAACCAAATAAAACAAACACACAAAGAGATAACTTTAAAAGTGTCCCTCTGGGAGACAAATCGGTATCTTGTTGTGATTGCGTCACAAGTGTTGAAAAGGTGCAATGACGTGTTTGGCTGTGCATGTCGTTGATGTGAAGCGCTTTCTGTCCTTGCAGATTATGTGGAGGGACTGACAAATATCCATTGTGGACCTGCAGGTTCTCATACATTTGATTCTGTGACACCACTGCAACGTAGGATCCTGAGGGTAGAGGACCTGACCCAAACTCGCCTCCCCTCATCTCTCTCTCCCCCTCCCTCCCTCCCTCCCTCTCCCTCGGTTTCCATCAGTCCTGAGCCCACCATGGGAGGATGCTTCTCCAAACCCAAACCAGGTGACCGACACCTCTTTCTTTGTTTGCTAGGTCAACCCGGGAGTTATAGAAAAGGAAAATAGTTGCAGTTCATTTTCTATTGAATGATTTTAGACTTGATCTTGTGATAAAACGTCAGCTGGCATATAAGCGCTAACTCCCCAGAGGCCTAAAGACAACAAGAAGTAGAGAACGCTGACGTATAATCAGATAATGCTCAGTTTCGATTGCCGATGTATTAATTAATTTGATACTTCTCAATATATACTGTACGTTAACATACCTGGTTCAGACTTTGTATGTGCTGTATTCTGATTGTGCAGTGTCCCTAATATTGTGGCCAATGTGCATTGGAAACTGTCTTCAGGATGGACAAAGTATTTCATATTGTTGCTTTTTTTGATGAGCGAGCATCATTGTCGGCAATAATAGCACAGTGTACGGTTTAGCTTTTGCACTAAACATGAAAGAAAAAGAAAAAAGGCGATCGCATGTGAGTGCGGAGCTACGACAACGAGATAGAAATTCAAACGGATCACAGCTTTCCTTGTGCCCTGAAGTCTCACCTAAGCGAGGGAACGTCCATCAGCCTCATGAGATTTCCTTCAACTCCGCCAATTGCCCACACTGTTACGATTTTCCATTAGTTTTAATCAAGACTTACTCAGCGGGAGAAAATTCCAGACAGATTACTTTGTAGGACCTGGACAATCAGCACATTTTCCAGCCAAACAGACACGGCCTGCTGCACTTAAAAAAAATAAAAAAATAAAAAGACACCACTGCAACCATATTTTCATGTGTAGAAAAGCCAAACAGTCGCACATCCGCTGAAATTAATATCATTTCAGATCTACGCAACTTTTATGCAGGTAAATTAAAAAGGTTCATTAAACTGTTATTTTTTTTTTTGCATTATGTTAATGTTTATTTAATCGAAAATTTCTTGACTCTTTGCCTTTCTCCTTTAAAAGAGAAGGAAAAAAAGTGGAGGAATGTTTTAGCAGACCTGTTCATGTGATATTCATATTTTTAATTCTAATATAAAAGTAAATATAATTGAGCACCATGAGTATGAACAATAAATGACTTAAGGATTTTGACGCAAAACCGTTCAAATGACTGATGACAATTATCCTCATTATTAATGAAGAATGGATGGAAAGGACTCACTTAGGCAGGTTCCCCCTCTAAATGATTCCATTCACCTTTTTTTTCCTGCTTTCATTTGTTCCACTTGTGACTTCATTTGTCCTTTGCTTGCGTTCGTACGGCCCCTCTTAGTTGAGGGCAGCTCCTCTAATGAAAGAAGACAAAAAAGTTACTCCAACGCACTGTTACCCGTTGAGTCAAATTCTCCAGTATTTGCTCAAATGACCATGTCTGTGTTGTGCAGTTGAAGTCAAAGTGGAGCTCTCTCTCCTGGAAAACGAAAAAGAGGTGGACGGCCTTTCGCCGAACGGCAAGGCCAGTCCCTTTGCAGACTGCAGACCGAACGGGGCTCTCGGACACAGCTCGGACGACGACTCCGCCTTGCTCCAAGCTTACCACAGATCACGGGACTATGTGGAGGCCTCTGTCTGTCATGTCAAAGATCTGGAAAACGGACAGTGAGCAAAGGAAATCTTACGTTTATATTCATTGACCCGATAACATGATAAGCTGTCCGCTGTAGTAAGCGTAAGCGCTGTCCCTTTAAGGGTTAAACAACTATTGCTGACCTGGAAAGATCCAGCCGGCAAATGGAGAGCTGGCTGGTGATATGAAATTAAAACAACAGCCCAAACTTGTTTGGGAATTTGGCTTGTCGTATTGGGATACAAAGAAAAACTATTTTAGTGTCGGCAGTGATCCGGTAAAACGTACGCTTATTTCCAGTATAATACTGTATATGTTTGTCCAGTTAATTATTAGGGGCGGAGCAACGACTGCTGCAAGATCACTCATGTTTTTGTAGAAATGATTGTGATGATGATTCTTATTGTTCTTCATCTTCTTCTTCTTATCGTCATCATCATCAGGGCCTGAGCACTAAATTCTAAGTGAAGGTTCCTGTTGTTTTTGTAGCAATGACAATTAGTCATCTAGTGCAGGGGTGTCAAACTCATTTTTGTCGCAGGCCACTTTGGGGTTACGTCTTCTGTCGGAGGGCCGTTGCGATGGTGAAACTAAGTAAATGTTTCTATATTAAAACTTGAACGCAACAAATTGATGGATGACCTGTTTTGACATCGGTCAAGTCATCTATAATAGTTTGTTCAATTATTGTTAGCGTGAGTGTTAACAGGATAACAAAATTATTGCAAAATCTCAACGTTATTCATTACGCGTGACGATTTGACATTTCGGTATAGATTTTAGCAAGGATCATGGAATTTAACACACATGATTTGCTTTCGCGGGCCACATAAAATGAAGGCCTGGGGGCCAGATCTGGCCCCCAGGCCTTGAGTTTGAAACCTGTGATCCAGTGGTTCCGATTGCATGATTGTCCATGTCTTATGTTGTATTGTGTTATACTTTTTTGTCATTTTATGTTAACTGTTCTGTAAAGTGCTTTATAAACAAAGATGTATTGTAATATATTGTATTGTAAAGTCACGACATCAACATCATGTTCCAGGATGCGAGAGGTTGACTTGGGATGTGGCAGAGCGCTGTTGATTAAGGAACATGGCGAGTTCTCAGCGATGGGCCACAAGTGTCCACATTACGGCGCACCACTCGTCAAAGGTAAATAAGGTTGAATTCCGAAAAGACTTGACATCTTTTCTTTGAGCATAAAGGAAAAACGCATTGCGTGGTTCAAGGTGTGCTGTCGAAAGGACACGTGCGCTGCCCGTGGCACGGCGCTTGTTTCAACATCGCAACAGGCGACATCGAAGACTTCCCCGGCCTGGACAGCCTGCCGACCTTCCAGGTGACCTTCCCAGTCAGAAGCATTCCCTGCATTCTGAGAGCATGTGTGTACACAAGGATTACGTATGCTTGTTTACTTCAGGTCAGAGTTGAAAAGGACAAGGTCATCATCCGAGCAAACAAGCAGGTAAACCAGAATGAATAAAAAGCAGTTACTAATTCAGTACGATAAACGACCTGATTGAGAGCTCTAAAACCTTTTCAGGCTCTTCAGTCGCAGAAACGGTCAAAGGCCATGGCAAGATGTTCCGCGGTCATTAACTCCAGCACAAGCTTGACGAATGTTTTAATTATTGGGTCAGGTCAGTGTATTGAGCTCTTTTCTTTCCCTTTTTTTTTGTGTGTGCATGCTGAGGGAAAGGAATTCATACAATACTCACAAAAAGTTGGGGGATTTTGGCCAGTGGGTGAAATTTCATGGCCGACCTAAAAATAGACTGGAACTGTAACAGGTGAACTTCATTTGACCCTCCTTCAACTTTTGAATGCACAGTTCCAGCTTTTTCGTTTTGTCAGTCCTCTTTGCGCAACTTTTTCAAATTCTACATTTTGGAATTCACAATAGATTTTTGATCCACGAATTGACCAATACATTTCCATGGATGTCTACCCCATGACTCTTACGATCTCTTTGATGATGATGATGACACTCCAAGATTACTGGCGACTTCCCTCTGATAATCTGTTGCAGCCTCACAATGGCATGGCATTGTTGATCAATTGTATTCGGCGTCGTCTTGGTCTCATGATTACAAAATGTGAAGAGCGTGATGGGTTGTTTAAAAACCAATGCTAGTTAAACCAGCCAATCTATTGGTCTATTGGTGTTATTTCTTCTCTTGTCAAGACTGGTCTTTCTTTTGGGAGAGTGACCAAAAATAAAAGTAAAACGTGCAGAGTTAGTGGTTGGATGCTTGCTGAACAGAGATCTCATGAGATGCGCCGATATCTCGCTTGACGTCAGCTGTGACGGTGGGTCAAACTCTGTGCAAACTTTAGAGGCGCATTTCATATTTTTGTTTGCATTCCAAAGTGTGCAACCTCATGGGTGTTTCCATTTAAGAGGTTCCACTGTTCGCAAGCTCCACTATTTATAAAGCGTCCCATCAGATTGTGCTGATGTCACCCTTGTACTTCTCGCATCCACCAGGGGTCATTTGCATGACACCAGAGGAGGGCAACATGCTGCTCTACATTACATGTACCTGGCAGCGCATCTCTATTGCACAAAGAGACATTTTTTTCAGTCAATCAATTTAAAGAGTGAAACTTACACACGTTCATTAAACATATTTTTCAGAAGGCCAAATCATATTGTCATCTTGTATTTTTTTGAGATTGTAAATTTGGGGTTTTCATTCATTAAACTTATTTAAAACAATAAAATCATGAATCCGGTCCAGAGTCACACTTAAAAAAAATGTGAACGACTGAAATAAATGATGTTTTTCACGATAGCATCTCGCAACAATCACAGGCAATTGATGGGAGTTATTGCAGTCCAAGCAATAACATGAGTGGTGGTGACACGTGTGCAGGTCCAGCAGGTCTAGTGTGTGCAGAGACGCTGAGGCAAGAGGGCTTCACTGAGCGCATCGTCATATGCACCATGGACAGACATCCTCCTTATGACAGGCCTAAACTGAGTAAGGTTTGTACACAGACCCCAAAACGAGATAGTTGGTCAAGAGAGACCAGAGAGATCGTCCACTGTTTTGTTTTGTTTGTTTTTTTTGTGGTTTTTTTTGGTTAAGAATAATGGTAGTTACAACTATAGTCAAGATGGCCTTGATAACATTCCCAGATTGTTTTTGTTGGACTCGGTAATTGTGGGAGAGAAGTTCTTCTTTTGACAAACTTTCTATTTAATAGATGCATTCAGCACTAATGTACTAACCCTCAGTCCCTAGACAGCACAGCGGAACAGCTGAGGTTACGTTCCAGGGACTTCCTGCACGATCACGACATTGAATTGTTCACAGAAAAAGAGGTGAGAGGTGGTGAACTCACAATCGAAGAGTAGCTGTTTAAAACTTCGTTTCAAAATCAATTTCACTTCAATGGTTGAAAATCAATAAACATTTCCTACAAATGATGAATACTATATATCCTTTCCCATCTGTGCCAGTGACGTATAGCAATAGGAAGAATAATTAAATGGTCTTCCACTATATGGCAGAAGGTACAATAGACCTGTGAATCCACCTCTTCCGTTGGCATTCATACAACAAATCATTATTTCAGTATACAGTACACATTTTTGTTTGCTGGTGCGCTGAGATTTTTCTGATGTTAACAATATTTCAACATGCCATAATCAAAACAGAAATGTGTTCTTGGTGCTTAAAAACAGTCCCCCGTCATTTAATTCTTACATTAGCAAACAGATTTTTTTTTTTTGTTGCATTGATGTTTTGAGAACATAAAGCTTTATTGTCTAAAGTAACCATATTTGTTAACTTTAAACTGAGCCCAAAAAAGATTAAGGAATTATGTTCCGACATTTAAAAACTCTTCACAGAGGATGAAGTGGCTCTTAAGCTAATCAAATGAACGAAATATTAGCTTTTAAAAGTCTCCGCTCGACCCGAAGAAGAATGTTATGGTCGACCAAACTAATTTACATTCATCCAGTGAAGTCAGAACAATACATGTTTTTTAGATATAACGACATTTTTGAGGTATGGCTAACAGGTTGGAAAGGCTAACTATTGTTAGCTAACGTTGCTCATTAGCCAGCACACAGATCTTTGTAAAGTAACATAAATTACACTGGAAGACTGAGATTCTCCTGCAATGCTTTGTAAAAGCAGCAAGTTAAGTAAATCAAAATGACCAATGAACATTCAAAGCCTTAAATTCACAAGAACACATGGTTGGAATCCATCTTAGGTCATTAAACAATGGCAATACTTTCAAATGGAATACAGTTTCACTTGTCATTTTGTCATTTTGCTCTTTGGCCATTCAATTTCGATTATCTTGCGACGGTTTATGCACTTCTCAAAGCTGACACTTGCTTTGTCTACAGGTGGTGGCAATAGATGTGAAGATGCGCTCTGTCACCTTTGAAGAAGGCTTGAGGATGGAATACAGAAAACTCTTTGTCGCTACAGGAAACAAGTTAGGGGGAAAAGAAATTCCTCATATCTTTTTCATTTTGCTGAAAATAATCAAATGTTTTTAATTTCCTGTTGAAAAGACCCAAACCTCTTAACTACAAGGGCGGGGATGTCAGGAATGTTTTTCACCTCCGGACGCCTGAGGACGCTAACAGCATAGCGAGGCTGGCCAACAACAAGAACGCTGTGATTGTGGGAACATCATTTGTCGGTAAGAAATTGAGTATGAAATGGTGATTTGAAATTGTTGTCTATCACTACGGGCTAATCTTGGTTGGTTAATGCTAAAGCTACATCTACAGTCCTGTTTTCTGCATGTTGAATGCTAATTTGTCTTGTGCGCAGGTATGGAGGTGGCTGCAGCTCTGACTGACAAGGCCCACTCTGTCTCGATCATTGGGGTTGAGTCAGTCCCATTTAAAAAAGCCCTCGGTGAGAAAGTAGGGAAAGCCATCATGAAGGTATTTGCACTATCAACCGAAAATAACCTGCAGTTTCACATTTCGAAGTCTGCCCTCATTTCTTCGTCACGTCTATGTTGATTCTCCCTGCAGCTTTTTGAAGCCAACAGGGTGAAGTTCTACATGCTGAATGAGGTGTCAGAGATGATTGGCCATCATGGACAGGTATTCACAAAGTGAGAGACACAGCATGATGCTCAGTTGCTAAAGTCACACGTAATGCATCTTCAAAATGTCACACGGCCGTGGTGTCAAAATCTGCATTAGAATGGGGTGTAGTTGAATGCAGAACGATTGCTAAATTTGGATGGCTTGCTTGAAAAGAAAACCTGGTGTCAAGGTCAGACTGCTGACCTTGAACACCCAGTGCTGGTGAACTGTAACAGAAAGGTCCTCCCGTCACATTTCTTTCAAGACTATGACAAGTATCTAGGACTATCCATTGTTGATATTCTTATATTGGCCCAAGTGTAAGTGTAATGTATATTCAGATACTTATTTTTATTCTTAAAAACATACCAGTTTAATATTGGAGGCCGTTTTTTTGACGTTACTGATTTATGACAAGATGAGCAAATCGTTCCAATAGAGTGACTTTTCAGGTTTTGCGCATTTACAGATTCTTAAGTCTTGCCATGTCAGTCCTACTAATTAAAACATGAAAATAACAAAACGTAATGGTGAATTCTGTTTGCGTTTCTTTACGTCAGCTGAAAGAGGTAGTGCTGAAGAGTGGCAAAGTCCTGCGGGCAGATGTCTGTGTCATCGGAGCTGGTGAGCAAGCCCAAATTCCGGTGACTTTTTATTGTTAAATATTTCAGGGAGCATCCCATCCCATCTGTAGTCATTAGATCTAATATTGAGATGCGAACAATTACTGTACTAACCCATGACTTGGCACTTTCTAAAGCTAGTGGCAGCTGAGCAAACATTTTTTTCCCCCTTAGGCTCATACAGCAAAACAAACTGTAGTTTCGGGATGAAAAGTTAGTCTCTTTTCTACTATTTGGACAAATGCTGTTTTTCTAGACTTGACAAAACGGACATGTGGAAAATGGGAAACATTACACCTGTATGTTAGTGAGCTCACTACTCTTCTCTCCTGCAGGATGTGTTCCAGCAACAAGCTTCTTGAAACAGAGCGGCATTCACATGGACTCAAAGGGCTTCATCACCGTCAACAAGGTATTTTGCGAGACTGAAAACTCTCTGTGTACATCAATCATGGTTGAGTTCTCGACAAGCTCCCACACCACGTTTGTACAATATGAAGTGGTTAACGATGAGTGTTATAATTTTTCATCGTTTCAAGAAATGTGCCAATTTGAAATTTGCATCAGTTAGTGGTGAGGCAGTGAGTGCTGACAAAAAAAAAATATATGGAAAAGTTCCCTTGACAGCACATTGCGTGACTTTCATTGAAAGAGTACGCGAAACAACAGAAAAGTGCTGTCATTTTCCTGGCATAATGTACTTGTTCAATGAGCAACATTTGTTTCAATAAAAATGTTGCATGTCACACTGATAAAGATTCACTAAAGCACCCTGACTGGTGCGCCAATATTCCATAAACCACTGTAATATGAATTAGGGCGTCCTTGGTGTCAACGGCACAGATTGCTCCTTGCATCTCTTTTCAGTACACTGCTTATATGATTTTGAAGATGTGATTTGAAGGTCAAATTGTCGCTGTCTCTGAGATGATGCAGACAAATGCCGAAGGGGTCTTCGCTGGGGGAGATGTCGTGACCTTTCCCTTCTCGCCACGCAACAATAAGAAGGTTAACATCCCTCACTGGCAAATGGCTCACGTGCACGGTGAGTGTGTAAGGACTGCGTGGTGATTGGGCAAAGTCATGCTTTAAAGTTGGATTTTTACCTACGGCAGGAAGGGTAGCAGCTCTCAACATGGTGGGCAGAGTCACTGAGGTGAAAACAGTGCCTTACTTCTGGTCAGCCATGTTTGGGAAGACCATACGCTATGCAGGTATGTTTACTGTGCAGGAACCACAACGGGCCTTGCTGAAAAGTTTGTGTGCCCAATTTCTAAAAAAGACTGCTTATTATTAAGTGTCTTTTTATTTATTTATTTTTCAAGGTTATGGGGATGGATTTGATGATGTCATCATTCAAGGTGATCTGGATGAACTGAGATTTGTCGCATTTTACACGAGGCAAGTGACATTTATTTATTGACCTGTGCAACACAATATACTGTCGGTCAGAAAAATCAGCCACGTGCTGGAGAATTACAACAGCAGTCATCTATATATAATTTTCCTTCATTCTGACGTTTTATTTAATCTTGTGTTACTTGGGGAATTTAAGTATGAAAATGATTTTTTGATCTACCCCATTCATGTCAGCTTTTCTCTTCATAATGAGTCCCCAGTAGGAATTCTCTGAATGGATTCATGTTATTTTTGTTAACTATAGTTATATATATATTATCATATATATTTGAATCTATTTGTGTATTATCATTGTTTCTTTGACTTCGGCTGGGTCATTTTCAGGGGTGAGGAGGTGGTTGCGGTGGCCAGCATGAACTACGATCCCATTGTGTCCCGAGTGGCTGAGGTCTTAGGATCCGGAAAGACGATTAAGAAACGAGATGTGGAGTAAGTCGCTATCCAAGACTTAAACCTGGTCGTGATTACAATAGTCTTTATGTTCTGTACGGTTCCTGAGCTTTTGAAGGGAAACATGACAAATTTGTAGAACACAACTTGTGACTTTCATCACATGACAAATGGGGGACTCGAGTTGACTTATTGTTCCACAAAATATGTTGCTTGACTCAGGTCACAGCAATTATGGTATTAAAAAAATACAATTACAATAAAATAAGATACTATTAAGATGTATGATTTAAAAATATAAATAAGATGAAAGATCTGGAGACTGTTGAAACGTAATCTTCAGTAAATTTATTCTAATATGCAAAGGAGGGCACGGTGGGCAACTGGTTAGCACGTCATTCAACCTTCTATTTCTTGCGCAATTTTAACGGCGCATTTTCCCCTAACAATTTCTATTTGTTATGTTCCAAATTTGAATGTCAATTTTCTACAGTAGTGCTATTGTTTGATTTTCTTATTTGGTGCAAGTTGACTTTAGTCTCATGTCTTTCATTTCGACTAATGCATTCACAAAAATTGGAGGATCTTCTTGGCAAGTAATCGAGTTGCTATTACTGCAGATATCATTACTGGGCTTCGGGGCTGTTTCACAAAATGGCCAACGTGTAACTCCATAACGTGTCTGTCTCTGTTGGCTGTTTGATGTAGGACTGGAGACATTTCCTGGTTGATTGACAAGGGCTCCCAATAACTTCACGTGTACACATGCACGGAGCAGGTGTGCACTGTAGTTCTGGATACAGACACTAAATGGTGCTGAGACAAAAGGCAGCTATCTCTAGTCTGAGATCTGTGACTGTTCAATCTACTGAAATGTAACAGAGAGAGAGCGCTGAGTCAGCAGGACTTTGGTGACCCGACTTGTCATGTTTCAAACCATCGTGGATTCGGCTGCAAGATGTCATTTTCATGTACCTTTGTTTATAACAAGCCATGAATGGGCATTGACAAGAGTGTATATAGCTATAATCTTGAATGCGCTGCCCTGCAATAAAAACAACTTCTATTTGGGCTGATTTATTTTTATTTTTTTCCGAATAATGCATTGAGTGTGTTCTTGCACACAGGCTTATCCGCATGATACATTTTCAAGTTTTCTGTATAGAATCTTCACTGGACCCTTCAATAGTCACACATGCATCATCTAACGCGATCCAACAAAAGGGGTGCATCCAAGATTGATATGGATCTCATCTGAGTGTGTAAATGTACCTTGCGGTGTGACTTGTGAGTGACTTTGGAACACACGTGCAGCTTTAATTTGTACTTAACATATAAAGATTAAATTATACCTCTTACTCATGGCTGTCTTGCTAGATTGCACAAAAGGTTTGATCTCTTTGATTCCTCATTCATGCTTGTATGTCAGATTAACTGTAAATTTTGTTTAACACAATACAGGATGATGATCATGATGATGCTAATTGCTAATAGCAGTCTCCTCCATTGGGATGTTTTATTACTAACTCAGGGAACTAAGGTTTGTGGCCTCCATCGGTACCCTGTACTTTTTCAAGAAAGACATTTCCTGGTGAAATTTTTATTTTCCAGTTATTATATCTTCACTGGTTCTGTTTGTATGAATTAGAGACACTGGTAATATACAGAGCTCCAGCGTAAAACACAAGGTTTTTAAAAAAATATATTGTTCATCCTACAAAAGGAGCAAGGATAGGATTTTTATATCTTTGAAATAAAGGTCTTCTGCCTCACGGAATCCTTCATTACTCCAGCTGTAGCACTATCTGATTCCATACATATACTCACAGAAAGCAAAACACAGAAAGGAAATGGTCAGGGGAAAATATTTAATGAGTTAAACAGAAGCGGCAGAGTTCATTTGTGCGTTTGACAAATTTCATTCTCTGAGGCAGAAAGGTATTTCGATACGAGTCCGATTTTTCTTCTACATTTCGCACCACAACAATACAGTTAAAAAACATAGAATATAAAATTCACTAAAATCACACACCCAATACAAACAGAGGATATTACATAATTTGTGTAAAAAATAAAATAAAATATCCCTGGGCATTTATTTTTAATGTCATGTCACAACAGACCACCAGGAATATTGAAGACACTGAAATGGTGGAATAGTGGACTCTAAAATGTCACACTGCAGTCACAAATTCTCAATATTTCATCATGTGCTCCAGTTTAATAATTTTTTTTAGGTCAACCGCACAGCGCGGTCCTGAGCACATGGTCTGAAAACATGTCTCTTAAACGGAAGCAAATCTCGCTGTCTGTGAAGGCTGAAATTGTCTCTCACTTTCTATAAATGTTTATAATGTATGATGCATTGTAGTTGGCGGCCATTTTATTGGAAATGGTTACAATGAACTACCATTATAGCGTACAGATTCGTTATGTCCCTCGAGGTACGTTGCAACGAGGTTTGACTGTATCACTTATTTTGAAATGTTTTTTTTTTAAACTCACTAGTACACCTGCACAATGTCATGAGATCCAATACATGAGCTGTTACTCTTAACAAACAAATTATATTATAAAATAGACTGTACAATACATATTACATTTTGTAATATACATTACTGGTATTTTAATTAAGCATCATTATTGTGGCACACATGTACATAAATTTAATGTAAAGTAGTTTTTAAATATCGGCCTGCGCCTGAAACGACTTCTCTGGTACTTTCTGTACATGAGACCTTGGGAAACACTCAATCTTCAGTGACACTGTGAGGGAAGTATCAATAGAAAAAGAAATGTTTGTCAGTGTGATTGTGTGTAGAGCTGAACTGCATCACACTGAGCAAAGTTCCTAATATTTTGCACCAGCCACAGCTATACATAAGGTAACCAAAATAATGTGATGAAAAATAAAGAGAGAAACAGCTCTCAGTATAATGCAAATGACAATCGCGTTAATAAACAAGTCTTTGATAGTGTCAATGAAACATTATTATCTTTGTAAATGCAGAATCTTAAATTGGAGCTCATTAGATGTGTCTAATTTGTGATGTAAGTGAGATACAGTGCAATGTTTTGTATCCAGTACAATCATAGAGATAATCATGGCAGGAGTGTTATTGGTACAAAAAGTAACAGCAATAATGCCCAGCGACTATAACAGCATTGCTTATTAAAAGAGCACATTGTGTTCCAAAGAGAACACATCAGGACAGTGCAGTAAGGTTTAAGAATAGATCTTTTTTGCAGGCTGGAAGGAGGTCAAATCTTTGAATGAAGAAGTGTATTTGTAAACTAGCTACATGTAGGAAGTACGCACTGTAAAAAGGTATTCACATTTGTTTTTCTTTCATTCAATGACTACAATCACAAGTCTCTTGACTATGCTGAAGAGCAAAGGCACGTTCTAAAATCGAAAACACCACAACGCTCTTGGCTGCATGATTTGGTGAACGATTGTCAGTCTCTTTGCAAACGTGCCAGTGTTTTCTCACAGACTACAGATCATCTTTTGTCCAAACAAACAACTGACCTGTCGGCACTGTGCTGACCTACAAACACACGTGAAGAACATTCATCTTTCCCAGGGGTCAAAGGTCATATTCCGCCGCACATTGTTGGAGGTACCATTCATACAATTTACCCTGTAGAGTAAATGCAATGTCAGATTTAGGTTCACAAATTATGAAGTGGATACATATGAAAATGCGTGGTCGTAGTCTACCACAAAGTATTCCGCCACGCATCAACCAATTGTTTATGACGTGTACTCAAAAAGTCGTTGAACAACCCCATCAGGTTGATTGATTAGCCATAAAGAAACTCTGTCTTGTCAATAGCATATGTAAATAAATAATAAATACATGTTTTATATAGCTGTGACAGAAGTGCACTTAGAGGCTTTAACACCAATTGCCTGCAAGAGGCCAAAAGACAATAAAAGAGCTGAGGATTACTTACCTTCCAGTTCACATTAACTACAACATAAAAATGTCTTTGTTGAAAGTTAACTCGTGGTCAAAGTGGGAATAGTCTTACCTTCTTGGTTTTGACGATATCCAGGATATAATCACTGTACTCTGTCATTGTTCTCTTCTCCTTCTTTGTTAAAGTCTTGTATCTTTGACTAGAGGATGAGGGAGACTTACAATTAAATGATGTTGTGTGTGTGTGCAATAATTCCACAAAAAGGGGGTTCGACAGACTCGCTAACTAGTCAATTTATCTATTTTACAACACCACAAATGATGTTTAGAGCGTGAGGTTGACTGGTTTCTAATCACGTTTTTGGTTTGAAGATAAAACAGATGCGTGCACTCTTTGGGCCCGATTTTCCTGCCCAGGACAAGTTGAGCACAAAGTGCAATCTAACCATGCGCAAGGGTGGAGTTTACTTTCTTTTGGTGTTTCCGTAGATTTTGCACAGGTCGAACTAGGCATAAGGGGGCGTTTGCGCCGTTGTGGGAGGAGCATAATAGGAAACGCCCTCGGTCTGCCTAGCGACACACAGCACGGTCTACCAAATTCACAAACATGCTAAACTAGACTTGGCCCAGCACCAAAATGTGCCTGTTTTTATGCCGAGCGCACAGGTGCTTCCGTGCTCTCAAAACGGCCCTTTGACCACAACTAGTTAACGTCAAATGAACTTTCATCACATTAGTGAATCTTGACAAAAATAAATCTGTGGGTTAAATATCTTAACCCACGTGTCAAATTCAAGGCTCCGGGGCCAGATGTGGCCCGCCACATCATTTTAAGTGGCCCGCGAACACAAATCAAAGATGACAACTTCCATGATACGTACCAAAACTTCAAATTTTCATATGTAATAAATCAGTGACATATTGTAAGCATTTTCTTGTTTCCAAACCCCTCATTACAGTTACTTAACCAGTAATTGAATAAAACATTATTCTTGACTTCTTTATATAGTTTCAGTCATCACGGTCCATCAAGGGAACGGTAATTATAATGTGGCCTGCGACAAAAATGAGTTTGACACTCCTGTCTTTAACCCTTCCATGCACCTTCTAACCTGATAACATGATAAACTGTCCCTGAAAGGGTTAAGATGTACAACCCCCAAAATCTATACTTTTTCGCGTTATTTCTATTCATATGAGAGATTGTGGTGAAGACTTACCCAGAAAAATGTTTGCCGAGGAAAAGTAGGAGGTAGCAAAAAGCCCCAAAGAGCAATACAAACACAACTTGCCCATCTTCTGGTATCCAGTCCCACAAGTACATCACTATGCCCTGCGAAGTGGACACGGAGACGAGAGACAGAAGTATAACTGTAGGCATGAGCGAAGTTGCAAAGCTTAATTTTGATCAACATTGTCAGTGAGATTTTCATTTATTCACACGTATGTTGGTTATTATGATTTGTCAGTGTTGAATCAAACTGCATCATACTCAGAGGTGTTTTCTGTATTGGTTATACTATATATTTAGCTACTTGAAAGGGAACTTTTGATTCTTAGATTGCAGTCATCAGACTCTGCAGGTCATCCTAACAAAACAAAAAAAAAAAAGAAAAACATTTGGTCAATATGACGGAAAGCACTCACGGTGCAGATACAAAGCGTTTGAGCCAGCCGTTCTCCCATCAGCTCACTCAACTGCTCTTTGGAGAAGGTGCTCATAATGAAACTAAGAATAAAGAGAAGAGGAAGGAAGATTCCCAAAGCGCCGCACACAAACGAGTTCAGGCGGACACTTTTGTTGTAAGTGGCATCAGTCCTGCAGGTGCAGAAGAAGAAGATGGATTCAATATCCTATATGCTGTACAGGATATACTTGAACCTCTTACCCACTGCACATTTGACCAAGCTTTAGAGGAACAAAATGGGCTTTAAACCATGTCATGTTGTAGTTGGTGTTTTTCACCTGTCCTGTTGTAGTCTGTTGCTGATAGTGGAACAAATTAAATCACAGTCTTTCTCCAACTGGTCCAATGTCCTCTGCACAGCTTGGTTGATGGTCTTTTCGATGGTCTGACACACACCGTCAATTTGGTTCATACAGCGGCTTGGCTGAGTGAGACAAAAAAAACCCCGCCAACTTGGTGTTTATCTGCATCTGACAGAGGTACGTCGAACAGTCATGTACTATGTCATTTTCAAGGCAGAAGCTGCACTTGATCATTAAAGAGGTGGTCTGTTTGAGTTGGAGGATGGATAATAGATCTTCTTGGCTGTAAGTCATCATGGTGCAATACTTCATGATCACTCTCAAGGGTGGCTGATCAGTGGCCCGAGTTTACAACTCCCTTGTGCTCTACACATATTGAAAAATATGAATCCTCTTGTTCCAGGCAGCCGAGGTCACCAGGAAATAGATCACATTGCGGGATAATCAATGAATGTCAAACCTGAAGGACAGCTGGACCTTGAATTTCAGATCATAGCCAGAACCACATCTGGGATTTAAATTGAGACATAGAGCTGAGATTTAAGACTGTGTTATTTAGCATGCTAACAAACTTAAGTGATTGTGTTATGTTTAATTACATTGACCGACCTGACAATGTATCATCTCTGTCAAAAAAATAATAATGCATTTTTTAAAAATCTAATTGAACAAAGATAATGGAACCATGTGTAGGCTTTTCAGTGCAGGTGGAGCATTATTGTCTTTGTGTGGGCGCAATTCCTGTGTTGTTGCTGGTTGTTTGGCCAATTGGTGCAAAGATGACAGTACATTACATGTTTTGCAGAAAACAATATGGATTGAAATTTACCCTCTGTGGGTTGGGGATGTATATTGT